TCATATGACACCAAAGATTAGGTCCAATGTCTTGGTGCTTTCCTGCCCATTGGAGGCACCTTTCTTTGTTATGATCAGTCAGCTGTGGTCTCTTTAAAGGTCTCATGGCCTTTGCTTCCATTATAAAGAAATCACTGGTTGTCTATAGCTCTGGAACACAGGTTTTGAGGTGGGGCAGCCATTCACCTCGTAGACTACTGATTGACTAATAAGCGATTTTGATGACATAAATGCAGTAGGTGGTGGTCTTTTCTTACATTTTTCTCTCTAGGGCCACCATTGCTGTGACCTGGAGTCATATTCCAGTGCCTTTGGTACCACTGCAAAATTTTAGAGACTGTTCCTGACATACCCCTAGGGTCCTGGCAATGGCAGTTTGTTTCATGCCAGAGAGCACCATCCCTATGACCTGCCATGCTTTTTTCGCTTATTCTATGCGGCATGCCTTCTAAAAACTCTTCCAACTCTAAATTAAAATTTTATAAAATGTGCACAATGATTACAACTAAGATTTGGACAACTCTTTCAAGTTACCAATAGCATAAGGTCATGGGGTCACCTGAGTGAATACAAGTTTAATCAACCATAAATGTTTTAACTTTTCATACCAATCAGTTTTATATGCAAAACTGATGAGGCAATGAGAACACATCACAAATTTTCGTCAAAATGTTATCATTTTGTAGAAATTCCATCGAACAGGTCGTATCTATAAAATATTCCATATTTATGAGCAACAGTGTATTGTTATTTGGGTGTAACATTTCATCAAAACGGTAATTTTAAATCTGCATACAATGTTTTGTACTCAAAAGCACTAAAGGCTCAATATGCAGTCAAAAATGCTTTTTATAATAGTAATGTGAAATCTCAGATAAAATTATTTGACACTTTAATTAAACCGATTGCACTATATGCTTCTGATGTTTTGGCTACAGATATTGTAAAGTTAAAAGACAAATCCTTGAAGGACGTACTTTTAAATAATTTATTTCCGTTTGAGAAGTTACACAACAGATATTGCAAACAGGTATTACGCGTCAATAATAACTGCAGTAACGTATCAGCTATAAGGCTGAATTGGGCAGATACCCGCTGCTCATTAATATATTAGTTAGAACTCTAAAATTTTTCAGTCACCAACTGATTCATATTCATTTATTTTTAGTAAACATGAGGAAGACTCACATGAATCAGGGCATTGGAGCTTCTTTTCATTTATCACTCAGATTTTGTCAATATCCAATAAAAATATTGATATACAAAAATTCGATACATGTGATCAAGTCAAAATTGATAATTTAATTAAATCTACAATGACAAGTTTAGAAAAAGAATACAAAAGCGCGTTTACGCAAGACATCAATAGACCAAATGATGCTCCAGGTAAATTCAGAAGCTATAAACTAGTAAAACATGCATATAAAAGAGAAAGTTATCTTAATTTACAGAACTCCACCTATAGACAATCTATTTCTAAGGTACGGTTATCGATACATAACTTCCCAATTGAACGAGGTCGATACTTCAAAGTAGAAAAATCGAAACAATTTTGTTTCTTTTGTAATTCAAAAAATACAATAGGTGATGAAGAACACGTTCTTTTTTGTTGTTCTCAATCAGAACTAAAACTAGCTCGATCTCAATATCTCAGTAAAATAAAAAGTATAAACAATAGTTTTTCTCATTTTAATACAAGTAGTCTATTTTTATACTCCCTGTTAGCGCACGATGATGCAATTATTGAAATAATTCACAATATTACCAAAGAGTTGTTAAACAAAACTGATGTGAAATCATTTTATGCTGTTTAGTAAAGTACTGCAGTACTAGTTTTATTTGTTATTTGCTTTATTGGACTTATCTCGATGTACATTACATGTTCAAGAGACCAATAAACTTATTAATAATTTAATAAAAAACACTCTATTGATGGACAGAAAGTACCCATGATGAAAGATATGACTGTCTAAAATCACTTGCCATACTACACATTTCATATATACAGTATATACCATCACAAGATCTAAATACACGCACAGAATTAGCGACCATTAAAGGTCCCGTGAAATGAAAAAATGATTAAAGAGTAGATGCAATGGTTGCGTCCGCCATCTGTGACAACGGTAGTCGACTTTACCGTTGTCAGGGTGTTCCGGTGTAGGTAGCTAGACAGTTTACCGGAGACAAATATTCATGATTTCAGAATAAAGTGGATGTAGATAGTTTGTCGATATATTATCGTATATATTCGTTACAAAAGACAATCCAAAAATATTTTCTATAATTTCTAAAAGGACAATTTAAAGACTTTTAAAAGCGCAAAAAGCACTACAGTAAGATAGGGTTGATAATGATAAATCCAGGGTATATATCAAAACCTAGGTGCAAAGTGCGTATTAACAATTAAGACATTCTATAGTTTACAATTACTTTAGTTTGATTTTTTATCAGTAAAGTTGAGAATAGTTATAAAATTGAACATATTTCATCATCATCAGCCGATGTCAATTTTCTGCTTACAATAAAGAATGTATGCAATACAAAACCATATTATATATTTATTATTCTGTTTTATTTTCAATTTTTGCTGATTGAAATGTTTTAAGATAAAACAATTGGTCTCTTCTTAATTAAGTAAACTCACTAAGTATAGTATAGGAATGAACACACAGAAATAATTTGAAATGTTATTGTCCTCTCCCAGATTATGATTGCCCCAAAATATTTCCGGCGATTCTAGCTTAATTTGTACTCCCAATGTTTCTAAATATCTCATGAATATGTAATATTGTATTCAACTAATGTGAAAAATCCTAATAAATACATTTGAATACATGTACATGTATAATAATCCGTTGTAAACCAGTGTCGGTACCGTGTTAATCAGTTGAATCAGTTGAATCCAACCGAATGCGTCTTTATCATGCTTATGTAATCATGATTATAATTGCGGAATGCATTTATACCGGTTCATTAAGTTTTAGATATACTACCGAATACATACGAATGCAAATAATATTGAGCCCGAATACATTTGTATATAAGTGAATCCAAACAATATAAAATATGAATACAAATGAATATCATGAGTTGTATTCGGTTGTATAAAAAGAGTCCATATCGGCGAGAATACGACACATATTCAATGGATTCAATTGGCAGTATTCAAAAGCATTAAAGCATATAAAGTTGTATTCATTTAGAATATATAACAAATACGTAGTCATATTTAGTCGAAATCATACCTGTTTCATGCAGTGTTAAGAATCGGAAGTGGCATTGTACCACACAATCTCAATCATTGGAGGTGTTAAATTCCATTAAAATGCTTCCTATTTATTTAGAGACAGTAATTATCTTTCTTCAGAGATAAATGAATTTGCCAAAAGTGATTGCTGTGATTTAATCTTATAACTTGACATAACATTTATCAATAAACAAGAGAACGAAAGGGTGTGGTATTATAGTTAAAGACTTATATCATCTTAAATAATGAAAAATTCAATTTCAACACAGATAAAATTCGCTTTGCTTTTTGTGTTAATTTTATGAATATAATTATTATGCACCTCATAAAAATACCAAAGGAGGGCAAGTAATATATTTATGACGTGAGTTGAAAGCCATTTATAATCACGCGTAGTGAATTACGAAGACAAAAAAATATTCTGTCTGATTGTGTTTTACTATTTTGAAACATTTAAACAAAATATTAGTGTTTAAATGGACTTTGTGAATTTTGACTTCAATTAATTAAAACATCTTATTTTGGCAATATACGCACAAATACTGAGTACAGTAAAACCTGTTGAAGTGGAACATATTCGGTACCTCTAAAATGTGTTCCACTTAACAGGTTCATTTAACATTAAGTCAGTTGGTCTTGAGACTCTGAAAAGTGTTCCACTTTTTGAGGTGTTCCACTTTACAGGTTTTACTGCATATTATCCCTGACCTTCTAGTTGTAAAATATCATATTGAAACTATTCTGATAAATTGGTCAAAGCCATTCCTCAGTAAACTGTTTCCCTTGAAATATCTAATCAAATATAAAGTTATGATTTCAATAAGAATGTATACAATGGTAGAAATTCGCCAATATTTTGTCATTTGCGATAATGCCGAACTGCTGATAATTTCTGTAACCCAGGCCACAATTTAAATCACCTTATATCATAATATCTCAGAGAGTAAATGATCAATGTTTACAATTTATATACCAAAATGATCGTGAGAGCAGTAGCTTTCATTTGATATACATAAAGGTAACATTTGTAAGCAATTGTGATTACACAGTCTAATGGTGTTAATAATTTCATATGAGACCAACTGTTTTTCATTTGAAATAGACCATTATGACATCACAATAATCCAAAAAGAGTAGAATATGTATAATTTTGAGTTAAATGTTGAAGATAAACTAAAATTCTTTCAATTCCTTAATTTTCATTATTTCAAAGTTGCACATTGACTTAACCAGATATCCCTTGCAATGGTGCTGTACTTTTTATTCTTATTAAGGACATATTTTGTTCAACGCCCGTTTCCATGACAACGGCACCTATTCCAACACAAATTATTTATCACACGACATAGACAATTCTCTGAGCTTTCCTATGATACCAAATTTTCCCATAGGGTCAGTTGAACTATTAAACTCATAATTTATTTCTTTGGCCTACTCGCCTATTGTAACAGCTGCGTGAAACAACAATGACACTGGCGACATCAGCGTTGATTGTGTTTTGTCCTTTTGTTTTCATATTAACAGTTATGATCGATTAATTGTAACAAAGTATTTAAAATGCTTATTTGATAAAATTAACAAATTTGTTAAACTTTGTTGAATCTCATTGTATGATATGGCACAAAATGATATATGAATTTGAAATCAAATGATTAATAATAAGATTGACGGTATACTAGTACCCATATTTTTACGCCTCATAGTCATACAGACGGGTCTAGTTTAACACAAACAACAAACTTAAACATTGCTGCTGTCTAAATTTTTTTATTCAAGTGTAATTTTAAGTCCAAAATATGTTTTCATTATGCGTTTCCCCAAGTCAGTCAAACTCACAGTCCCATGAAATAATCCAACTTGATTGATTCTCCTTCATTTGCAGGCGACTGTGGTTCCGATGTGATTAGGCTACTGGTATGAATAATTTGGGTGCATGAGGTCTGTCTACCACGCACAGATTAGGCTGACAGTTCATGTCAAACACTCGCTTCGTACACAGATTTTCCACATGTATCTGCAATACGGCAAGACAAAAATATTACATACGACATGTAATGATATAATGCTTTACATGCCCGTAGCCAGCTTTTCGTAAGGGGGGGGGGGGGGGGTCGACCCCCCGATGCACACATACAATTTTTATCATGCTTAACCAACTTCGCATTGTTATTACAAGGGTGTTACAAAAATAAGGGAGGGGTCCCGAAAATAAGCAAGGGATTCCAAATCTTTCCGCGCTTGCGCGGAAGGAAATGAGGGCCAAATTGATTGATTTAGAAGGAACAAAACTCGAGGAATATTATAGCTTGTAAAACAATAGCTTGCAGTCGTTGTCGGGATGAGTCGTGTAGTGCTAACCCTACTATCACACCAAACTAGTTCTCACTACGTTCTCGAAAACGGGCTTCAACTGTGTACGAACGGACTGGACCTACTAAGAACCGTTTGGGATCTATTTACAAACTTCATCGAACGTACTCGAACGGGTAGGTCCTCTAGAACTTAGACAATGCTCAAAATGTTCTCGTGGTTGTCACGTTCTACAATTAGAACGAGTGAAAACGTACTAACGACGAGCTGGACGTACTACGAACGGAACCGTCGTACTTCAATTCTAATAGGGACGTTTTAACAACGAGTTGAACTGTCTGAGGACGTGTTTAGAACGAGGTAGAACTAATTGCAAACGGGTTTAAACTGATTAAGAACGTAACACTGCTTATGAACGAGTTAGCAAAAATATAGCTATCACACCAAACAAGTTGCCACTGCGTTCTCCAAAACTGGTTTTAAACTGTGTGCGAACGGAATGAACGTAGCTGCAACTTTCTAAGGTCTATTTACGAACTTTATGAACGTTCTCAGACGGGAATGTGATTTTAGAATTTTGAATCGATTCAAAATTCGATGGCGACCATGCCGTTCTGTAATCAGGTCATGTTGACCTTCTAGACTAAGGGACGCGTTCTACTACGTTGCACACCGACGTGGTGCGACCTGAACGAACTGCGAACGAGATGGACGTATTGAAGACTGTTTAAGAACGAAGAAGCTAATTATTTCAGACATATTTCCCGACCACAGCCAGATTGAGCCCGTTTTACGACGTTTTCGTAGGACTGGCAAGAACGGGTAAGAACTAGTTTGGTGTGATAGGGGGGTAACGCGAGGTCGTAGTAGGCCGAGCGATAGGAGTGAGCCCGGGGAAATTAAGAATTTCTGGGCTGATTTGGCGCGTTCTGAGTGATTCTAGGATCAAAATGTATGATTTATTTTTAAAGATTATGATTTTTTTTGGAGTTATTAGGCGCGTTCTGTGGGCGATTCAAGGATCAAATATTTAATTTATTTCAATTTACACTTTGGTCATGACTCTCAATAGAATTCTTATTTCATTTATTCACTTATTCAACATGTTTCGAATTGTAATTGTAATGACTTCAACTTTTGTAACTCTCTATTAACTATATGTATATGTATCTACGCCCATTTTGTACTTTGACCTATTTTTGTGGGGGCCCAATCTTTTCGCGTCCCAACTCCCAACGCCCCCCCCCCCCCCACCCTGGCTACGGGCCTGCTTTAGACCAATTATTTCAAATGATGGCACTGGGTTTTGTTTGTCTCAGTTGATATTGCTCAACCTTGCAAGCTCCCGACACAATGTCTCGACAATAGACAATGTGGTAGGCAAATGGACACTAACGAAATTAGTCGGCTTTTATACATACAATTCTTAAATTATAAATTATGCATTCTTTTGTATTGCTTAATCAGTTGATTTTTAAACGTATTAAGAAAGTCATAAATGTTAGAAGAAATTCGGGTGAGGACATTTTGAGTAAAGTGAAACTCTCTTGACTTGTACAAGGTTGTACATCGTTGTCTTTAGATATTTCTTTCTTCCGGCAGTGGTAATACTCTGACGAAGACTACTTTGTTGTACCCCATTTGGCCCTAGGCCACCAAACATTCGCAATTAATATTATGGATGTAACTAACATATTGTTAGCACCTCAGTGTTAATACTCGCATCTGATTGGTCAATTAGCGGTCAACATTTTTGCCTGTACCCCACCTGTGCATCATGGGATATCATATTATTGACCGCGTATGTTACTGTACTACACTTGTGAATTATGGGGAATATGACGTCATAATGTTTACAGAAAAAACATGGTAGACGGACATTTTGCAAACGTTGATGAAAGTGATATTTTGTCTTTACTAGGCGACAAGTATAGCAAAAATACAAATAGAAACGTAAAATTAACATTAATTTACTAGTGAGTACGCAGTGATGTGCCGAAAACAGAGAGTTACTACCACTGTCTTCAGATTTTCTTAAAAAATTATTGCTGGCGTGGTTCGAAGAAAAGATTGTGAAATGAAGCCATGATTGATGATTAGGCCTATCGTCTATATATGTATTATTATAGTTTCTTCTGACTAACAAAACAGTTGTAGACCTCTCAATTCGGTCAACAGTCAAAATCATATACCTCGACTGTAAACCTTGAAACTACTGTTGACCTCGACCTTCGGTCTCTGTCAAGTGTCAACAGTAGTTTCTCGGTTTACAGTCTCGGTATACAATTTTGCCGGTTGACCTCTGGAGAGGTCAACAATTGTATACTGTAAAGAGTGACTGTCAACAGGAAAGCTAATGCTCATGTTCACTTGAGTCAAATATTCATTACTTTCTTACATTTTCAACCCCCCATCCGTCTTCACCTGCGATCTTGACTGTGACGCCCACCAAGGGACTATCCATGACTGGCAGAAAATATTTGTACCAACTGAAAAAGTTCAAGAAAGCAATTGCTAGGATAATTTTTAGAAAAATCGAGTTTTGCGTTTTACTCTGGTCTCCCTTATTGTAACGATAACTTTTTTAATCTGCTAGGGCGATTTTTGCAGGCTTTATTCCAAATCCGTTTTCATAACTCACAACTAAGTCTATTAGTTTTACTCTGGTCTCCCTTATTGTAACGATAACTTTTTTAATTTGCTAGGGCGATTTTTGCAGGCTTTATTCCAAATCCGTTTTCATAACTCACAACTAAGTCTATTAGTATTATGTCTCAAAGTTAGCAGACTTCTCGATCACCATATAGTTGTATAGGATCGGTTCAAACTAATCAAGTGAATTCCCTTACAATAATGGCAATACAATTTGGTCTCATGCCAACCTATGTTCTTGGCATGTCTATGTGAAAATATATTAGAGAGACCAACGTACAACCTACTATTGTATAACTATTGTTAACTCTGGATATGATTATCGCTCGGAAATTGAAAAAAGTCAGTCGGTTGGGCGGGCGGCAGATTAAACAAACCCCGACTAACTTACTAGTGTCTATTTTTCTGATGGCCGTGTTCAGAATCCTCAAGGCTGTACCATTGTGAAACTGCACATGCAGTGTGAAATCGAATTTCCAAAGGGTTAGTTGTCTCGGAGTCAACTGCCTTTCCCGTTAGTGCGTATACTCGATAATTACACATAGTTGAGTTTCGATTACTAGATATAGTATCTATCTTGGCAAGGTCCTCTTGGGCCCCGGGGCTATTGTATCGCGTTGCATACTGGGATGCTAGTAAGAATATTTGGGATGCATAAGGTCTGTCTACCAGACACATGTTAGGGTCACAGTTCATCTCAAACACTTGCTTCGTACACAGATTTTTCACATGTATCTGCAATACAAAGTCATTTATATAGAAAAATATTACTAACTGGGACAGAACAAGTCCCACGTTTGTATATTTACTCTTATTTCTTCACTTTTAACCCTTATGTGTACAGACTTCTCTGCCATGAAATTATATTTTTGTAATCCTAGTAGCTACAGCTAAAGATAAAATACAATTTTTGGTGCAAAAATTGCGGTGATCAGGGGTATAATGGCTAAGTTAGGATGATGGGTACTTTGGATCTTTTCAAAAATTCCTTGAAAATCACACCATCTCTATGGTTTCATGTCATAGAATAAAAATATAAGCTGGTTCTATTTACTTTGACACTTTACTTTGAATATAGACCATGTAGTATAGTGAATACACTTTCAGACAAGCCATATTACAAGTTATTTTGACTTTTATTCACTGAGATACACTCCCCTCCATAAGTTTGGCAACCTTTGCTCCCCATTGAACTACGTGTTAAAGCCTCTTTACCTTTGAATTTTTATTTATTTAACCTGCGCTGAAAATACTTATACATTTGAAAGAAACGTACTTTGACTTTATTTCCAATACCTCTAAATTTTCTCAATTTTTTTTCCTCAATTACAATAGGTCGAAAATTGATGATAAATTTGAAAATTTTTTGAAAATCGACATTCCCATGTTAACCAATGGGAAATGGTAGGTTTGCCGCAAGTCATATGACAGAATATCCATCCATCCTAGTCCTTGCAAAAATTACAAGTTGAGTAGGCAATTGAATTTGCTAACTTTATTCAACAAAAAATTGATACGTTTCTTCAGGTTCAACAAAGTTATATGCCCACCCTTGGTATACGCAGCTAACGAAAATTGATCGGTACGGGTCAAAAGCTGGACCGGTACGGGTTAACGGTTTTATTTGAATTTAAAACAGCCATAACTTGCTCAATATTGACTTCCTCGTGTCTAATTTGAAATATATGATGCCTCCCAATTTTTTACAGATTTTTAAAAGTACCAAAACTCTCTAAATGCGCATTTATGCTCTTTTCTCTCGAGAACGACTGTCTCATTTTCACGATAACTTTTATTTAGTACTTCTAACATATACGATCTATTTTTCCCCATCAAGGTATGATGTAAATGACATGCTATTTACATCTTGTGAGTTTCAATGACGCGCGTTTGATTTTATAAAAAAGTCCTTGGGGAAAAATTGATATCTCAAGGATATAAGAAACAAACGCTGTCAGTATATATCAAAAAGACAATTGCTAAAAATAAATCGATACAGATAAAATACAAAAAGCAAAATCAAATATTAAAGATATTGTCAGAGTTCTAAGACTAATAAGGAAATGAGAAAAACAACAAGAATGAACAGAATTTAGATACCAGTCTCTGAAATGAGGGTAAACTATATAAGGAAAACAGCAACAAAAACAAACATTGATAAAGACAAAGGGGAAGGGGAGTGTAACCGGTAGAAAAGGCTTTAACCCACCGACGTGTAGTCACAAGTCTGCAGACCCGACACCAAACAAGACCAAAGAGGAAAAGTAATAGGGAGAAAGAAGACCAAGAAAGACGAAACTAAAGAGGACAAGAAAATAACAACAACAGAAACATAGAAGAAGAAACTAAGAAGACAAGAAGTGAAAGAAAAAGACAAATAAAATCAGAAGAAGTAAGAAGAAAACAACAGCAACTACAAATAAATTTTCAAGCTGGACTGAATGATGATGACATGAAAAGCATGTAAACAAGACGTCCGTCAGTACGTACGTATGTACGTCTGTCCGTACGCCCGGGCCATAACTCAAATACCGTTTGCCCGATTTTGTTCAATATATATAAAACTGTAATGACAGTATAAAAACTTATATAGGACATTAATGAAGCTAGAAATGTAGATCATGACAACCATCTTGTCCGCCTTTACACGCTATGCATGGCACACTCCTTTAATAGCCACATGGTTGGATGATTTCTGGCTTGAAATTCCGTGTTTTCAATTTAGTAGAGTTTTTCAAGTAGTTTTGTGCAGTTTAAGATTATTCTGACAGCAATTATGAAAAATATGGCTACTTTATTACCCCTGGGGTCATTTTTCCAAGAACCCAATGGTTTTCCTTTAAATTTGACTAGTTTTTCATTTACATCGTGAAATCTACTGCCTGATTGTGACATTTTACAATATCGTGTCAAGAAATTGAGTATTTTATTGCATATTGCGATTTTTAGCCAAAATCACTGAACCATGAACCAGAAAATTGGGCAAATATGGCCTACTTTGGCAAAACTATACTAAATTTATCATTTTTTGATACTTTATTCCATTCAACAACCTCCTGATTTAAAAAATGATGACAAATGTGACCTGCTTTGACTCTGGCCTAGACAATTGGGACTTTTGAGATATTTTTAGCTCGAATTTAGTCATACAGAGTGAACAAATACACCAAAATTTGACACTTAACTGACCGATCTCTGACTGTACCCCTGATATGTACCTTCATTTTTTACTGGAAACCATAAGATGGAAAATTCAGAAACTCATTGGCTTCCCCATTTACGACAACATATGACATCTAGGGGTCATTAAGGGCGAAATTGTAGCCAAATATCGTCAAAATCAGTGGAAGCGACGTATTAGGGCATTTTGGCCCTTATGACACTTTGGCTAGAAGGCAGCCATTTTCAAAATTGCCGCCATTTTACGTGTGTTATTTTACGTTTTTTACAATAACTCAAAAAAGTAATACATCGGTTTTGTTCATATTTGATATGTGAATACTCATAAGCACGACTCACTGTCTTATTATACTTTCGCTAGTGCAAGAAAATTCAACAAATCTGGAAGATTTATTATTGAAGAGAAAGTTTACCATGAATTGCTAAATGAATAGGCGCATGGTATGGTAAAGCATGTAAGGTTACATATTGTAATTGTTTATTCATTGTTGTTGAATTTCGACTTGTTTTGTCTCAAATTATTTCTCTCTTCTTCACAGTTGTGTTTCGTAATACTCTGACGACTACATAAGTCTATCCCAAATGGGCTAAGGCCACCATGCCTTCGTGGATGGCACATATTGTAAAGTGTGTCAACAAGAACAGCTTATACTCATGTTCACTTGAGTCAATCATAACATTCTTACATTTTCAATCATCCATGCGTCTTCACCTGTGTTACTGACTGTGATGCCCATCAAGGGACTATCCATAACTGGCAGAAAATATTTGTTCCAACTGAAAAAGTTCAAGATAGCAATGGACGATCAATTTCTGAAAAGGCAATGGCAACGTCCTTAGTAATAATAATCATAAATCGTAGATAAATAATATTATGTAAGTTTTTAAGAAATAGCGGACAAACCACATAAAAAGGTATTTCCATATGCGGACTTATTCATGTGACGACCCTGCTAAAGCATTTAGGAACAATTGTTGAATTTGGCAGAGACAGATAATCTAAGAATAATCAGTCTTAGCTAGTTATAATATCAAAAATTAAATAATATCCCTTTGTGCATATTGACACCGAAATACTTTTGAATGCATGAAAAAATGAGAACAATACATGGAGTTCAATCTAAAATATGACTTGTGCATTTCTAAATTACGCTTACATAATCCAATCTAGTTCTCAACCGTTCTTTCCAGTCCTACAAAAGTCGTAAAACGGCCTAAATCTGGCTTTGGTCGAGAAACATGTCTAAAATAATTCCCGACCTCGTTCATTAACATTCTTCAATACGTCCATCTCATGCATTCACAGTTCGTTCAGGTCGCATCATGTCGGTGTGCAAACGTAAGTTGGGTCGAAGTATGACATATTCGTTCGTAATTTAGTAGGTTATCTCGTTTCAAGTACGTTGTCACACGATCTAATTACAGAACGGTATGGTCGCCTTCGAATTTTGAAATGGTTCAAAATTCTAAATCACATTCCCGATTGAGCATGTCCATGAAAAATTTAAATAGACCATAGAAAGTTGCAGCTATGTTCATACCGTTCGTACCAGTTTAAAACCAGTTCTAAAGAACGCTGTGACAACTATTTTGGTGTGATAGCTAGTATTACTAACTCGTTTAAACAGTCTATAATACGTCCATCTCGTCTATATTCCGTCTACAGTACGATGCTTTCAAGTTTAGATCGAGTAAGATTCACATTTTCACGCGTTCATCTCGTCTACACAACGTATCCAAGCAGTTTAATTACGTTCTTTATCGGTACAAACCCGTTGGCTCGTTCTCAATAAGTCCCAATATGTTATTGAACTATCGCGAACTATTTTCCAGACGGTTCAACTCGTTCTCAAAACGAAATACGTAAATGTAGTGTCCCTAATTCGTGCAGGTTGGGTTGGACGATTAGGTTGGACGCGACGGCTTCAGCTGCCGGGATGCACGGCAGGTACTATTCATGTTAAAATGCCATCGGATTGCAATCAACCCGGTAGCCGATAGCTGTTATTTGCAGTCGCGAATACAAGCTTAAGAACGTTGTCACTTATTCTGATTGCAGAACATAACGACAACCAGAAATCTGTGATCATGCTCTAAGTTCTAGAGGGCCTACCCGTTCGAGAGGGTTCATGAAGTTTGTGAATAGACCCTAAACGATTGAAGGTACGTCCAGTCCGTTCGTACACATGATAGTTTAAGCGTATTTTCTGGAACGTAACTTTAAAACTAGTCTGGTGTGTGAAAGGGGGGTTATGACCCCGAGATACATTCTCGTTTAACTTTAACCGTAAAGCATGTGATTTAAAGAACGACATTATATGACCACCTATAATGGTCCTGTTGGGTTTTTATTCATTTTAGTGAACTAATACTCTTATTTTTTGTGGCACCCTTTGGTCGACTTACTTACTTTTGATTATTTTTGTAATGGCCGTGAACAGAATCCTTAATGATGTACCATGGTGAAATTGCACATGCAGTGTGAAATCGAATTTTCATAATGCTTTTTGACTCGGCGTCGGGTACGTTTCCTGTCAGTGCGTATACTCGATATCTACACCGCTCTGAATAGATAATTAAGTTTTTGAATTATTGTACAACATTAAGTTTCAAACTATAACTCAATTCTATTTACAAAAATATCAACTATTTGAAAAAACTCTAGGTGTTTGAGCAAAATTACTTGACTAGTTTAAAATGTTAAGTTCTTCAACATTGTTCTTTTACATTGTATATTTTTCCCATAACATTATTTTGCACATTCCTATCTGACACTAACACACAGAATATTCCAGAGAGTTGTAAAAATAACATGGATGTCCGTTCTCGTACTCTGCAATCTTCTTAATAAGCCAAAGAAAACTTCATTGACGTTATTATTCAAATAAAGGCGAGAACAGAACAAGTCTATAATTATCTCCCTGCCTCATCCCCATCCTCATTGCCCCTGCACTATGTTGACTAAACTGTAAAAAAATTAAAACTAACCTGTCGCTGATAGGACAAAGAGTGTACACACCAACACTAGTACTACAGTGAACATCCTGGGTATTTTCTTCAGTATTTGCCACTGAACGATATACACAAACTTCAGATGGAAAAATAATTTTGTATTCGGCATAATTAATTCATTCGTTGAGGGGTGGTATCATTTTTATTAGATGAAGAGGTATTCACTGAACGAATTGGAATATTCGTTGACTAATATGTTACCAACCCTCATCAATGACAATATAGTACTACATGTATGTTAAGTACAATGTCATATATTTTATTCCTTAGTTTTAACAAAAGTGTTTGATATATAGTTATAGCGAGATAAATAATGACATAAAATGGGCGAAAGCGCCGAAACCGGAACAAATCGTGGAACTTTCCAATTATGACCAAACAAGCTTCCTGAGTGTAAAAATCAATTGTGCTCAAAATTTCATCTATCATTTTTTCACTTTTGGCAGGTTTTACTCCTAAATATTGGACAGATACCCGGCAGAGTAAAGAAACAAGGTGGTCTGTATTCAAATTCTACTCCAATCACATATGCTTTGTGTTTAGCAAATGGTAAGCTTATAAATAAATGTTTAGCAGCGCAACTGACACATTGATCACAATCGAAGAAAATGGGAAGTCAATATACAGGGCGTATCAAAAAAACGCAACATGTAGTTATCTCGTAAAATCACAAAACTAGTGATGACTACATCAATTTAATTCAATGTACCATAAAGCCACGTCTCTCCTCTTTGCAATGATATGTCATTCATTCACATGTGGTAATGGTTGGGTGAGAAATCCTTCCATTTGCACAGTGGGTCAAAATCGGCTCCAAGATTTAGATATTGCAAAAATCAGTACAAGGGCTAAGTGCAAATGGAAGTTCCCCTGACTTGAATTGTTGTGACATTTTCTTTTGGAGCTATCTCAGGAGCATCTGTGCTCACAATTCTTCCACCAGATATTGCAAAACTTCGAGAAAGAATTGCGGCCATGGGCTGCTTTTCTCTTCGTTAACATACAGATGACCGCAGGGCTGAACATGACATGGACAGATGAGCGCATCTTTATGTGCAGGGAAGTGGTGGCAATTTGGAGGGGTTATAGGATGTATTCTTGCAAGAGTATGAGTATGAACACTTTACTGTCTATGCCACACCTGTCACACCTCCTTCCAATAGCCCCCATGCCCCTTGTACTGACTTTTGCAATGTTTAAAACTTTGGTCCGAGCTGAATTTTGCCCCACTTTGCAAAATTAATGATTATTCGGCCAATCATGATTCCCTGTGAATGAATGATATACCATTGCAAAGAGGAGTAATTTGGCTTTTTGGTACATTGAATGAAAAGAATGCAGTCAGCATTGGTTTTATGTTTTCTTGCAATATTGCATCGGGCTCCGTCTGTTGCGTTTTTTTGATACGCACATATATAACTGTATAAAGAAGAGAATTATTGAAAGATCAAAACCCATCACAGACGAATTGCCAGGGAATTTGGCCATAAATGACAACAAAAGTGACCTCTTTACCTTCCTCGCATCAAATGTCTCTGCTATTCCATGGCCAGTACAAGAGAAAAAAGTCACCATGTGAAGAAATTTTCATTGCGATTACTTCACACTATTTATCCCGCTATTATACCAATACTTTAAATTGTCATACTTTTTGAAACTTGCATTTCTAGGTGTGTCCGATCAGAGAGCCCCATCGCCTCAAAAGTTCTTTAGTTAGTGAATTCTTAATTAATTAAATGTTGAAAATTCATTTGATTAAAATCGAATTTGATTTTACTTGCATTTTACTTTAAGGCCACTTACCTGCTGTCTCAATAGTCTGTGTGAAGGATTTGCAATGCGCAATGGTATTTATATAATAATAGTCCACAGGTGTACATACATGATAAACATTTTAATTAGAAAAGCAAAATGACAAAAGGGTCTGGAAAAACACTTTTTGAATGTTTTAATGGTTGAACAAAGGGAATTGAAACCATGACTACATGTATATAGTGCTTTTAATGACAACTAAACTTTCCTTTGTACAATTACAATATTGAGAGACCTAAACACGTTGTGTATATGTCGTTTTATTCCAATGAGGTTTGGGTAGATGTTTCATTTCATTCCGAACACATGATACCATGAACAAAAAAGTATCTGATGTGTTTTCAGAAATAATATAGAGAAAAATATATTTGTAGAGACTGAGACCATAATCACAAAAACAGCATTTATGCCCAGAAAGTACTCATGGTGAAAGATATGATTTTCTAAAATCACTTGCCATACTGCACATGGACCTTTTTGATAATTGGTTTAAGAGAAACATTTGTTCAATTCAGTTCGCCATATCGATACCAATCTTTTCTTGCGATTGATCCTTGTATGGACTATAGCAACCATAACATTTTTGGCCATGTACTGAGTGAAAATTTCAGCCAAATTGACTGAGAAACAAAAATCTTAAAGAACTTTATGAACATACCAAGTTTCATTAAGATTGAGCGGTGGGAAAGTGGTAGAATACGAGGAAATGTGAGGGGACATCCTTTTGTGTGGGGTACTAGTATTTTAATAATTCAGCGTGAGATGTTATTTGTTTTTTGACATATCTATATACAGGTTGTATTGCGGTGGGGTATGAAATATGGTATCTGTTTTCTCATGGATACTTGTCTTTTCCCGTTGGCCCAAAATTATATGCTTTCATGTTTATTGGTTGGTTGTGATTGTGTGATTTTTGATGAACTGTTGAACAACATCAAATTGGGCATGAGTGAATCGAAACTAGGACTTTCTTAATCAAATATTTCGTGAATTTATGATCATAGTTCTGATGATATTCGTCGTTTTCATTTTTCCTCATTTTACCTCGAGATTTCTGAAATCGCATTAGTAATATAAAATACCATTATATTTATATAAATGTCCTCCTATTTGCGATAAAACATTTAATTGTTTACGTTTAAAATACATTATACCACAATAATTGTTCAAACGTGTTGATGGTTTGTTTTATGTTGTCGTCTCTATGGTAACACTGCGTCAATGTGAGTTGATAAATAAAGGTAGAATGGAAATAGAAACATTAATTGTTTTGTTTATTTTACTTTTGCAATATGACATTTCATGAAAAGACTAACATTCAATTAAGTATTATTAACCTATGAAGGTTGTGTTTTACCAGTCTATAAAGATTCCAGTGTGAAATCCAGGTTCTATTCATTTCTCAGATTCTGTCCAGTTTCATATGTATATTTCGTGTATTCCTTATGTACATGTACGTGATTCTCATCTTTGTTAGTTAATCTTAAAGCGTTATTGCATTGATAGAAATAGATAACGGATCAATTTTCGGTCAAGTAGGCCCACTCGTAGTACTTATTGAAATAAGGAATTTAATAAATGCGGAAATTAATAAGATCCACCATGATGATATGAAAATAGAGTGATTTTGGGTGATATCATTTCATCACCGAGTTGATATCAAATATGTTAATAATATCTACGATTATTGAACTTCAGGCAATGATTATTGTTTTGGGAAATGAATCAACTGAAAGGGTGTCACCCCTCTGGATCAATGCTTACCCATATAAACAATGACGCTCCACGGTCTTTATTGGAGTTTGAATATAAAACGATGGTTTCCCCTAACTATAAAGTCGAACGTGTTGTGGATTGATTTTCTGATGCATATACATCGATTGCATCTTATAAAACCAATGTGCTCTTGTCAATAAATTATTCTATAGATAGAGTTCCTGTACATCCCTCCACACATTGTATTAGGATCACCAGGGCAGGCCGTGTTGCAATCCGAGTCTGGGACTTCGCCATGGTTACCATAACTGTTACTACACCAACAGTCCTGACCATTTTGTAACCCAATATACTGAAATCCTAAAACACGAACAGAAAATCATTAGTTTGTTACGAACGTCATAATCGATAATATAGTATAAAAAGTAATCTAGTTTCTATTTCGTACAACAGATACGATACCAGCATCATTATTATATCGATGAAATATTACAAATTTCACAGTCCTTCTTTGTTTTTAATACTTAAATACACTCTATTTAATAGTCTTCCCCGTAGTCGTCCTACATATGGATGTACGTTTGGCCCTAAAAGGGCATCAGTACTAATAAAATCCTATTATAACATAGGCACAGTCTAGTTCAATAAAAACGTAATAAAGAGATGGAAGAAAAGAGCTTTAAAATACTTTTTATTTGAAGCTTCTAGCTCAATTTTGAAGGAAGTGGCATTCATTTTTGTAAAATTCAATATAAATTAATCTTTTGGCTTTTTTATGCCAGAATCGCACCCCCTGACTGAAAACCGAAAAAATTGGCGATCGCACCCCCCTGACTGAAAACTGGCTACACCCCTGTTACATGAAGTGCTTATCCCATTCTTTATTTGGACAATTATACAAGTTTGATAAAAAAATCCAATTATGGCAATAAATTTTTTTTGAATTGTATTGGATACAATTGTATTTTATGATGTCACTAGCAGCAGGGTCACTCTCATGTTGTCATTAATAAAATTTGAAATTTCATAACTTTCAGTACCAGCACTGTAACACTGTATAATACCATGTCACAACCTTTGTTATATAGAGGGTAGCATATAGAGAGCATCGGGTAGAGGCTTCCGCGTGTGAAGTTGCATGAACGTACACTTTGCTCCAAAGCCATAGCTCCCCTATTATATTACATGTTAAAGCCTCTTTATCTTCAAATGATTGGTATCGATATGGTGAACTGAATTCAACAATGTCATTCTCTTAAACCAATTATTGAAAACATTCTGTAAAAAACACGGTCCTTAATGTATTTTTTCTGATTGACAACAATTTAATGCGAAAATTATTTATACAAGGAGCGATCCATATATTCTGATAAAAATGCTCTAATTTTGTGATTTTTTCACATATTCCTTTCATTTTTTCAGAACATGTAGATTATGTACTTCCACATTCAATGCTTAAATATTATAGCTACATCTTAAATTAAGGTTGCCATGGTAACCTGTATTAAGGATAGGTAGGTCAGTTAAATTTTAACGTGTAACTGGCATCGTGGTAATCCACGCCCTCTCCATCTCTATCTTTCTGGACGATGTGTAAAATTTTCAGACTTTTTTATGACAGCTGGTTTAAGAGAAACGTGTGTTCAAAAAGTTCACCATATCGATACCCATCCTTTTTATTTACACAAACTGCCATGGAAATATTTATTAAGGTGGAGATGTAACTTGACTTTATTCCTTATACCTCCAAATGTTCCCTTTTTTACTCAATTACAATAGGTGGAAAATTGATGACTACAAATTGATACCATTAAGAATCTGAAATAAACAAATTAAGGTAATATATAGGTTTAAAGTAATGTAAATTGATTTCTCGATTTTCTCTAATGACATTTTAGTTCACCGATTGCCAATTGTTTTGTCAACCTTTGTGATTATTGTATTATTAAGTAGAAATGGTTAATTGCCCCAGCCTCCAACATTCCCATTACTTTCTATTTATTTCTATAACTTTAACTCACCCTGTGGTCGACATAATGATTCACAGAACTCCAATGTATTTGGGGTAGCGTGTGATGATGGAAAATATCCCTGCACGTTTGACAGGTCCCTCGTGTTAGTTGCATCAATAAAACAGCCAATGTAAGTTGGGCATAACTGATGTGTTTCTGAAACGACATATAAAAGATGACTGATTATTAAATAGTATTCATAATGCTTATTATTACTAATATGTAAAATCATGCAAGATAAATAGAGAATGTATTCTTGTCAATCCTCAATTTCTTTTTATCCCATTAACACACTTATTTTTATCTGGGGTGATCTTTGTATTAGTTATTTTAAACCTCACCTTCCTGCCTATAGATATTATATGCATGTGGTTCATCAAGTAAACATGCAGGTGTAATATGAAAATCGCATTGTAATGTGTCACCATGATACGCCACAGCTTGACACGTGTCATCTAATTGACACTCGAGAAGACACTTGTTAGCTGTCGGTATGCCGGTTCTAACTTCATCTGGATTACGATGAAACACACCTTCAGAAATGCCATACAATGTCCCCAAGACAATTGGTAATATGTCTAAAAATAGATATCCAATTGTTATTACTCTGTGATCCATCCTGGTCCTAATGCTACCAAGTACGAGTCAGCTAAAAATCCAATCCTGAACAATAAGGACTCTGAGAGATCTAAACGACCGTTTCGTAAATCCCCAAAACATACAAGAATTCATTTACAGAAACTGATATTTCTCTGATTATTGTAATATTATTCCAATCAATGGTCAATAAGCGATGTGTGTAACTGTGTATTTGTGAATGTATTGTTAGATTTTATTGGCAAACTAAGTAATTTTGAGTCGAATACAATTTAATTTCTTCTAAAACTGGTTCCATGACCATCTACAGGCCGCAGTCAGTGGGAGGAGGAGGGGCTACGGACCGAAAATGTGACACCTCCGGCACCTCCTCACTTTTCAAAGAAATCGAGGTTCTTATCCTTCCTATAAAAAATGAAGGACCCACGGTCCTATGCTCACACAGTTTGGAACCTTCAGAGGAATTTATATCCTGACTTTCAAACAAAAATATTGATTTGGATTTGTAGTCTCGAACTTTGAGAAACTTAGATAGCATAGTTGTGTCACCTAGTTTGATGACCTTTGACCTTGAAAATTTTACTTATTCAGAGCTCAGTAAGGTCTTTTGTGATTAAGCTGACCAAAATTTACATCCAAAAATCAATTTGAAAAATCAACTTTTTTGACCTTTCGAAGGTCACTGAAGGTCAAGTAAAGGTCAAATCCTAAAACTAATGTCAGATTTGAACTCCTGGCAACTTGTAGATGATTTTCAAAAAAAAATTTGGCCAAATTGAAGCATTAGTTGAAAAATAACTTATTTTTACTGTTTTTTGACGTCAAATATCTCAAAAACTGTAAAAATTTGATGCTGACATATATTGAGAAATATGTAGGGAATGCTTAAATCTATTAATGATGTAATTTATTGCAGGAAATGATCAAGTATAAGGCAAACTTTAAGAATCTTGTGAATCACAAAACCTGCCATTGACTTTATACATGAGAAAGTTTCCTGAAAATTACTAAGTCCTACTTTTTTTCAAATTTTATAGAGTAAACACCAAAAACCGTAATTCCAAGAGCTTTGAAATCTTCAGAGGACATAAGTTGCATATACACCAACTACTAAAAGTTATTTGAAAGTTCTACTTCAACAAAGTGTCTAGTATTTACAGAAAATTTGACTTTTTGACGTCAACCTGCGATCAGGGTGCACCCTCTACAGTAAATACTTTCACCAGACGAGTGCACCGTTCTATGTACACTCTAAAAAACCAGGGCACCCTCGTGATAGCACACTCAAATACGATGAGAGTGAATGAGGGTGTGTACTGACTAGAGTGCACCGGGGTGAGAGTGTCTGACGATGCTGCACTACATGTAGGGTGAGAGTGTGTACTGACGAGGGTGCATTCGGATTAGAGCATGTACTGACGAGGGTGCACTTGGATTGGAGTATGTGATGACGAGGGTGCACTCGGGTGAGAATATGTACTGCTATTCAACTATTAATGTGTTCCCGATCGCGAGATTCATGTAATGACTGAATGATGTACAAGAATAATTTACTTAGAAATAAATCAAACGAAGATTGAACTTTAAGATCAGTGATTATGTGTGATATCGTTACACGTTGATATTTTTTGATTGAAATAATCACTTTCTATATTTAAAAGCAAAACTCAACTCGAGATAAGTACTAGTATTTGAATAAGGTCCGGTGAGTCCATGGGCATCAAAAAAGTTTTTTCTGATTAAAATTATACGGTTGCTATAGTAACCAAGGCGATGACGCAATGGTCCATATTATTTTGAAAAAAGAAAACTAGTAATATATAAAGAACAATATTACCAATCATGCAAAATTTACTTACATAAAATGTCAACTTAGATTTAACCAATATCTAGTTTTGTTCTCCTGGCAAAAGTGAATCTAATATCAATATTTTCCATCTTGTTTTCTTTGATCATGCCAAAGAATGACCATACAGTATATAGTACTACGGCCAATTTGACTTTAGATTCTTGGAGGGGACCCAAAGGCATGTAAAAGCAGGCTCAAAATTGCTGTGTCAGCATATTTTATCATTTTTGAGTCAGAGTTTGACCATATGCTTGAAACTAGTGACACTGTTGTAAATGGTTAAGCTTACCATTCTGAAGATAGATGTCAGGCTACACTGGACCATTATCTGAATGGAGTAGGAGGAGCATGCGAGAAGGTCTACTACATACCTGAATCAATTTTTGACAAAATTTGGAGCAATTAATCATAAGATGATTAAGAAAGTAGCATAACATTATAGATAATATTTTTGTAGACCTATTGTTTAATTATTGTTTTCGAAATATTGTGTACGTACATGTACATTCATGGGCTTTCAATAGAAGGGTGGGCAACTTCCCATATTTTTCATACATAAGCATTGTCTTGGGTTTTCAAAATTGCAGAAGAAGTGCTTCCTATACAAATTCCAAGGAAAACTTGTTTTGTACTTTTCATGTATAATTTTAAGAAATAACCCAAAAATAAAAACATAATTATCTGCATAAACGCTGATAATTTAATAGAAAATGGAATTCATCATAATTATGGCAATAATGAAACTGAACATTCCCTCACAAATTATATTTTTATCAGAATGTGTTCCTCAGAATGTAACTCTCGAAGAGAACATTTTGATCATGTTTCATGTTATAATCACTTTCAAAATTATTTCTTCTTCAAGATAATGCTAAAAGCATATTCTTAAATCTAAATCTAAACATGCAGGTGTAATATGAAAATCGCATTGTAATGTGTCACCATGATACGCCACAGCTTGACACGTGTCATCTAATTGACACTCGAGAAGACACTTGTTAGCTGTCGGTATGCCGGTTCTAACTTCATCTGGATTACGATGAAACACACCTTCAGAAATGCCATACAATGTCCCCAAGACAATTGGTAATATGTCTAAAAATATATATCCAATTGTTATTATTCTGTGATCCATCCTGGTCCTAATGCTACCGAGTACGAGTCAGCTAAAAATCCAATCCTGAACAACAAGGACTCTGAGAGATCAAAACGACAGTTTCGTAAATTGCCAAAACATACAAGAATTCATTTACAGAAACTGATCTTTGATTATTGTAATATTATTCCAATCAATGATCAATAAACGATGTGTGTAACTGTGTATTTGTGAATGTATTGTAACATTCTATTGTTCATTTTATTGGCAAACTAAGTAATTTTGAGTCGAATACAATTTAATTTCTTCTAAATCTGGTTCCATGACCATCTACAGGTCGCAGTCAGTGGGAGGGGGAGGGGGTACGGACCGAAAATGTGACACCCCGGCACCTCCGGCACCTCCTCAATTTTCAAAGAAATCTAGGTTCTTATCCTTCCTATAAAAAAACAATATCTTTAGAAAATTATAATTTTTACGGCTACCTCGCGGCCTGTAAAAAAACTGGATACACCGTACGGAGACCGTGAGCGTAGTTTTTCTACGCTCGCCGCAGAAATTCACTGATTTTGATCTGCGGTCCATCCTGTCACCCGAGTGCACACTCTTCAGTCAGTACACGCTCTCACCCGAGTGCAACTGCTCTCAAGCACATGCTCTCAACCTGCGATCAGGGTGCACCCTCTACAGTAAATACTTTCACCAGACGAGTGCACCGTTCTATGTACACTCTAAAAAACCAGGGCACCCTCGTGATAGCACACTCAAATACGATGAGAGTGAATGAGGGTGTGTACTGACTAGAGTGCACCGGGGTGAGAGTGTCTGACGATAGTGCACTACATGTAGGGTGAGAGTGTGTACTGACGAGGGTGCATTCGGATTAGAGCATGTACTGACGAGGGTGCACTTGGATTGGAGTATGTGATGACGAGGGTGCACTCGGGTGAGAGTATGTACTGCTATTCAACTATTAATATGTTCCCGATCGCGAGATTCATGTAATGACTGAATGATGTACAAGAATAATTTACTTAGAAATAAATCAAACGAAGATTGAACTTTAAGATCAGTGATTATGTGTGATATCGTTACACGTTGATATTTTTTGATTGAAATAATCACTTTCTATATTTAAAAGCAAAACTCAACTCGAGATAAGTATTTGAATAAGGTTCGGTGAGTCCATGGGCATCAAAAAAGTTTTTTCTGATTAAAATTATACGGTTGCTATAGTAACCAAGGCGATGACGCAATGGTCCATATTATTTTGAAAAAAGAAAACTAGTAATATAAAAAGAACAATATTACCAATCATGCAAAATTTACTTACATAAAATGTCAACTTAGATTTAACCAATATCTAGTTTTGTTCTCCTGGCAAAAGTGAATCTAATATCAATATTTTCCATCTTGTTTTCTTTGATCATGCCAAAGAATGACCATATATAGTACTACGGCCAATTTGACTTTAGATTCTTGGAGGGGACCCAAAGGCATGTAAAAGCAGGCTCAAAATTGCTGAGTCAGCATATTTTATCATTTTCGAGTCAGAGTTTGACCATATGCTTGAAACTAGTGACACTGTTGTAAATGGTTAAGCTTACCATTCTGAAGCTAGATGTCAGGCTACACTGGACCATTATCTGAATGGAGTAGGAGGAGCATGCGAGAAGGTCTACTACATACCTGAATCAATTTTTGACAAAATTTGGAGCAATTAATCATAAGATGATTAAGAAAGTAGCATAACATTATAGATAATATTTTTGTAGACCTATTGTTTAATTATTGTTTTCGAAATATTGTGTACGTACATGTACATTCATGGGCTTTCAATAGAAGGGTGGGCAACTTCCCATATTTTTCATACATAAGCATTGTCTTGGGTTTTCAAAATTGCAGAAGAAGTGCTTCCTATACAAATTCCAAGGAAAACTTGTTTTGTACTTTTCATGTATAATTTTAAGAAATAACCCAAAAATAAAAACATAATTATCTGCATAAACGCTGATAATTTAATAGAAAATGGAATTCATCATAATTATGGCAATAATGAAACTGAACATTCCCTCACAAATTATATTTTTATCAGAATGTGTTCCTCAGAATGTAACTCTCGAAGAGAACATTTTGATCATGTTTCATGTTATAATCACTTTCAAAATTATTTCTTCTTCAGGATAATGCTAAAAGCATATTCTTAAATCTAAATCTTTTTTAGACATTACCAAAAAAGGGAAGCATGGCACTGCTCATTTTGAAGTTCTCACGAGTTCTCACAGAGTTGCATGCTATTGAATGACCATATTTAGCGACATCTTTTAATGCAGTGATAAGTTACGCGCACACTATGAGTCTCGCAAACGCCCTTACCTTGTAGAAGGAATGAACACTTACTATGACTGTGGCTCAGCAAGCCCGAACGGCTTGCCTATGGACTCCACAATTCATTGATGATAGTCAACCTCCCACTGGGCAACAGTCACTGTTGAGGCTAGATGACATGTTGTCTAACCTTCCCATGGATTTATACATTGAAAAACTACTAGATTCCTGTACTGATACAGGTTTCACAGTCCTTTGCTACCGTGACCACTTGGAAACAAAAGCCCGTCTTTTAAAAGACTACCCCGACGGAGATCTCATTCGGTTGGAGACTCCAGAATAGTTTCCCATAGGTGGCCATTATAACATTTTACCCTGTATCTTATTAACGATTAACTAGATAAATGCAACATACCACAGACCTGTCAAAGCACAGGGAACGTGTGAGATGAACATAAATACAACCCCTTTATGTGATCTTGAACCAGTGTCGTCCTCTTCTAATTCAACATCCAATGGTATGAGGAACGAAGCGTCACAACATAAGGCTCAAGAGGAGAATGCCCCGAATCAAATTAACCATTAATCTAAACCTCGGGAGTCTAATACGACCTTGTCCCCTTGTTGCATTAACTTGAACGATGACGATTTTCTCTTGTCAACGCCGAACACGCAGCTTCAACATTAGCAGAATTGATCCGAATGTATCTGAACAAAAAGTAAAACAATGCCTAGCTGACAAGAATATCACGGTCACAATGTTCAGATTCCTTAACACCACTACCACTCGCTCAAAAACTGCTAAAGTTAACGTTGATGCTCACGGCGCCAAGCACCTTTCAGATTCTACGTTCTGGCAAGAAGGCATATACGTTGTCGATGGCTTTCGAACAATCGATATCATGAAGAATTCAGCTACGATGCATGCCGATATAACCCTACTATCACACCAAACTAGTTCTCACTACGTTCTCGAAAACGGGCTTTAACTGTGTACGAACGGACTGGACCTACTAAGAACCGTTTGGGATCTCTTTACAAACTTCATCGAACGTACTCGAACGGATAGGTCCTCTAGAACTTAGACAATGCTCAAAATGTTCTCGTGGTCGTCACGTTCTACAATTAGAACGAGTGACAACGTACTAACGACGAGCTGGACGCACTACGAAAGGAACCGTCGTACTTCAATCCTACTACTGACGTTTTTACAACGAGTTGAACTGTCAGAGGACGTGTTGAGAACGAGGTAGAACTAATTGCAAACGGGTTTAAACTGATTAAGAACGTATTTAACACTGCTTATGAACGAGTTAGCAAAAATATAGCTATCACACCAAACAAGTTGCCACTGCGTTCTTCAAAACTGGTTTTAAACTGTGTGCGAACGGAATGAACGTAGCTGCAACTTTCTAAGGTCTATTTACGAACTTTATGAATGTTCTCAGACGGGAATGTGATTTTAGAATTTTGAATCGATTCAAAATTCGATGGCGACCATACCGTTCTGTTATCAGGTCATGTTGACCTTCTAGACTAAGGGACGCGTTCTACGACGTTGAACACCGACGTGGTGCGACCTGAACGAACTGCGAACGCGATGGACGTATTGAAGACTGTTTAAGAACGAAGAAGCTAATTATTTCAGACATATTTCCCGACCACAGCCAGATTGAGCCCGTTTTACGACGTTTTCGTAGGACTGGCAAGAACGGGTAAGAACTAGTTTGGTGTGATAGGGGGGTAACCAGCACCATAAGGAATCTGAATATGAATAGAATTGTTCTCCTGTTGTTTTTTACATACACAACCTGCATTCTCTCGCCTCCTTTTATGAAATCATATCTTAACTTGTTCTCTTGGAATACGAATGGTATTATGACTATCGCTGTTCTTCTTGATGAACATCTTTCAAATGTAAACATTGTGCTCTTTCGGAACATAAGCTATTCAACGATCCCGGTCAACGATAGCCTTTATTTCCTGGATTCGATCAATGCAAAGTTGAAGCGGAGGCGAAAACGTTCTGTTCCTGTGTGCGAAGAGCTCGAGGTTGATGGAATTCTCACACGTAAGCCACAAGAAATCGTGAACCGGTTCAGAGATTACTCTGAATTGTTAACTGAACTGAACGATCCAGAATCCAATGATAACTTTAGGAAAGAGATCTCTGACGAAGTAAGAGCGGATCTTTTTTACACACCCAGCTTGTTAAGGAAGACCCAATACTCGGCGAGCCAATTTACACATATGAAGTAAAGAATGTTATAAAAAGCTTAAAAACCAAGAAAGCCGGTGGTGTTGATAGTTTTAAACAAACGGACATCTCCTTTACGGTGGAGAAGTTCTACCCCGGGTACTGGCCTTTTTATTTAATCTGATTTCTGAAACCTTGTCTACTCTAGCTTTTTTTTAAAGATGGCGTTATTTCTAAATTGTTCAAATGGGGTGGAAACGCCGTTCTCGTTTCGAAAAGTATAGAGATATAACTTTACTCCCTGTTATTGATAAATTATGGGAAAGACTTATTAAAAGCAGAATCCAAATGGTCTAACTACGTCTAGGCGTTTTCCTATCCTTAAAAGTGTCCAACAATATGCTCACCAAGAACAGTAGTGGCTTAACTTGCAGTTTCAACTTTACAGAGTATCTTTACCACAATTTAGAACTAGGTAGCTAGGTGTTCATTCCGTGCATCGACACGAAAATGGCATTCAATTCCGTGTGGCATGACGGGCTTTTCTGGAAGTTGGACATGGCAGGTATCACTGGAAAACTCCTTAGAATCCTCTACGATCTCTCTAAGAACAGGAGGGCTAAAATTCAGCTCAGTGGTTATTCATATTCAAGATGGCGTGCTGTCTTGTCAAGAAGTTGACGAAGTAAAACACATGGGAAACATATTTTATAACTTCACACTTTCTGCTAAAGTTAAGGTCTGGACTAAACCTATTAACGGGAGCTAAACTCGTTCGATGCATTTGTATTCCTAGTGCCGAGCCTTGGTATGGTATAACAAAAACACAAACCCTCCAGCTTAAGAAAGGTCTCAGATTCATCGCTAAAACGTTGCAAAACCAATCCAAATGGACAAGAACTGACTTAACTTTAGGAATGCTTGGTCTAAACAACATTGAATCAATGATAGAAAGTAAAGATTACTCTTTTTAGGACGCCTTATTCATCTGGAGCATACACATTTGGCGAAACAAGTATTTCTTACCAGACTACATCTAAATGCGACTGACACACGTTTGCGTAAAAAGGGTAGTGGTGAATTCTGCTTATATCTCGTGAAATCATGGAAAAACTAAATATCGAAATCGTTTGCGCCATTTTGTTACGAAAACGGATCCGTTTACGTAACTCGCTTTACGAGTTCCTCCACAGTGATATTGGCAAACGTTTGGAAATACGTTGAAACTAAACGTCATGTCATAACAATATTTTGATATTGTGTACTTCTAATTTTAATATTGTGTACTACTTTAATGCGAAAATAATAAAACAAATATTGAATTCTGTGATCGTTTAATATCTGTATATATTTCTGAGGGATGTATTCACCTCGAACTTCGGGCTGCCGTGAATACACCTTCAGAAATATATAGAGATTATCCTATATGAGGTTCAGGATATTGGGATTATCCCGAGGCAAATATAATATATTTGCCCGAGGGCCGCAGGTCCCGAGGGAAAATATGTTATATTGGCCAAGGGATAATCCCAATATCCTGAACCGACTATAGGATAATATGTTTATCCCATACCAATCTTGGTCATCTGGTTCACATTGTTCAATCGTGGAAATATTTTAGAATATTCATGTCCAGTTTTGTTTTCTTGGCCGTGGGTGGATTTTCCTGTTCTCTCAAATATTCCCATATTTATTTTCTCGAATTTTTGATTGATTAAGTGGATGCTCCTTGCTATCAAACAGATCCCGATTGTCTGTGTTTTGTCCATTGTCGTTTACGGTCATTACGCGAACGTTACAAATTATGAACAAATATGCGAGCGACGATTATGACGTAGCGGGTACAGGCCTGTCAACTGTCCCGCAATTTGCGTATTTGTCACGCATTTGCTGAAGAATTTGAAGTCACGCCAGTTTTTTTTGCGTGACACAAAATGTCACGCAAATACGCATTTTACCTGGTAATTGTCACGCAAATATGTTTCTGTAAAAAATTTTTCAAAATATGTTTATGATACGGTAAAAATACGAACGTCGGAAAAAAACGAACGCAATTTGTTCGGATTTGTCACGCGAATCCCGTATATGTCACGCATGTTCATTGGAAATTTTCGTACCTCGTCACTCATATTAGGTGGTCCCAAGTTGACAGCCCTGCGGGTATCTGCCCGCTCGGAGCGGGACGTAAAGCTATATCTGCCCGCTGATGAAAATATAAGTTTTTACAAACTGGCTTCATGTACCTGTAACACGTCCAAGTATGGGATAAATACAGATATTCAACTCCACACAGAGTTCAATGTTTGTCGTATAGTATTCATGAAAAATGCGATTAAATTTAAAGATGCGATTAAAATTAAACACGTGTTTGGTACTAATGTGTGTGGATGTTGACACTAAATCGTAAACACTTTTTAGTCCCACTTTATCAATATCCCATTCATTGGCATTCACTGTCGGTGACAATTGTTACACTTTTTGTAAATGTAACTGATTGGTGACATTTTGTCAAGTTGTATTAGCTAGTTACAGTTGTTGAAACTTGTGTTAAAACTAGTTTTCCATAAATTCAAAATGAAAAATCATTTTCTACCAACTTTCACTCAACCAGTCGATATGAATTCAGTTTCAGCATTCCCCATTTTTTAGTCGGAAGCGTAATCTTGCCATTTGCGTTGAATCTGCCTCGTTGATATTGGTATACAGATGGAAATCTTACTTTCATTCCCATCATGTCCATGACACCCCATCTTTTCTTGGTTTCAATTTCATCTTTTGGGCGCAACTGGCGCAGTGGTCCTGGGCGAATACTACCCCACCTGTTGAGTGCACTGTAATGTACTCTTTTTCGATTTTCAATATCATCTCCCTTGACATTGTTGTCATAGCTACTGTAATAGTAATCTGGGATATCTGGACGGTTAATGTAGTCGTACTCATCCAAAGGAAACTTCAAATGTGACTGCTTCTTCTTGTCATTAGGCTCATCAGCGGTGTTGTGGAGATTTTTCATGAACACTCCAAAGCAGTGTCGTATCAGCGCTTTGTCTTCGCAGCAAACATGAGCGTCTTGTTGACACCAGTCACATAGATTACTCAATGGGACGTCATCTTTGCAGTAATTTTCTGTAACTGCAATTTTCTCAGCCCGATCAGTGAGTTTCCATGGTAAAGCGGTTGTCATAGTTATAACCCATATCAGAATGATATTCCTGCCTGACATCATCTGAAAAAGTTTTATATTGCGTTCATTTTCATTACTTGGTCCATCATGCATAATTGAGGACCTGCAAAGGAATGAAGGAGGTTATTTCTGGTTTCTCAATTTATTAAGGATACTAAAAATTTGATTTAAGGTAGTTCCGAATGTACAGATATTTAATGACTTCCTAGATTGTAGTTTCTAGTTATTTTCAGGTACATATCACTCATTTCATACATGGTCTACAACTTCCAGTTCTACTCAAAGAGTGTGTAAATCTAAATTATTAGTATCACTACAGCATTGATAAATATTCTATGTTCATAAAAAGGAAAAAATTCAATGACCTACATTTTTGTATGCATCCTGAAATCAAGTTAAGGCAGTTGTTCACTGGCAAAAGATGGCTCCATGCTATAGCATAGCATAATTTTGATTAATTTAATGAAGTGTAATGACAGTAATGACATTTTAATGTGTTTTTGTTGCAATTTGGTACATACTCGTAATTAGCAAAATAATAAACAAAACATACATAAATTGTATTTTTTCAAAGAGGAGTAATAAAAGATGAAGTTGGCGAATTATGTTTTTTCTTCAAACTGATTTTAATCAGAAATCTTTCCAGTGTACTAAAAATGTTGTAAAATACAAAGTTGGTGAAAGTGAAATTGGAAATGGCCATGACATGATAACATATTAATTATGCTTCATTGGTGTAATGAAGCATAACTATGTTATCATGGCATGGTCATTTTCATAAACCAGAACTCGATGCATTGTAGGATGATTTAACAATCAATGTGTGTTTCCTTTTCAGATATTAGCATGAGCGTGACAGCACAATGCAAAAGACTAGGAAAAGTGCATAAGTGGATTGAATTACCCACAATTCATTGAGTCATGTGCTGGAATTCTTTTCACACATTGCAAAATATTTCATAAACTAAATGGATGATTTTTTTGCTAGGGAACAACAAGTTTTCGCAAGGGAACAACAAGGCAGGTGCTTATGCAGGTCAAATGGTAAGTGTTGAATGGTTATCTTATTTGACTTATTTCAAATATTTATGAAACATCATGCCCGGCATCTATATAGGGGCGACCAATTAGAAAAACGCAGCTTGGAATAATAATTCCCAGCAGGTTGTTTTATTTGTACGCTTGTGATATGATTGACAACCTACGCATTGAGTGTCATTGTCTTTACTGGATAGAGTTTCGTGATAGTGGAGTTATTTACTAAGGATGATAAGCCTTAGTCGGGCATCATCAAAGATTAATGATGTAATATTTGATTAGATATTTCAAGGGAAACAGTTCACTGGGGAATGACTTTAACCAATTCATCAGAATAGTTTCAATATGATATTTTACAACTAGAAGGTCACGGATAATATGCAGTGAAACCTGTAAAGTGGAACACCTCAAAAAGTGGAACACTTTTCAGAGTCTCAAGACCAACTGACTTAATGTTAAATTAACCTGTATTCGTGGAACACTTTTAGAGTGTCAAGACCAACTGACTTAATGTTAAATGAATCTGTATAAGTGAAACACTTTTTAAAGCTACCGAATATGTTCCACTTCAACAGGTTTTACTGTACTCAGTATTTTTGGGTATATCGCCAAAATTAAAGTCCATTTAAACACCAATATTTTCTCTAAATGTTTCAAAAAAGTAAAACGCAACCAGACAGAATATTTTTTGTCTTCGTAATTCACTACGCGTGTTGATAAATGCTTGGCTTTCAACTCGCGTATAAATATATTACTTGCCCTGTGATTATATTTATCAAATCATCACAAAAAGCAAAGCGAATTTTATTTGTTTTGAAATTTTCATCATCTAAGATGGTATAAGCCTTTAACAATAATACCATTCCATTCCCCCCTCTTATTTATTGATAAATGTTGTGTCAAGTTATAAAATTAAAACACAGCAATCACTTTCGCAAATTCATTTATTTCTGAACAAAGATGATTACTATTTACTGTCTCTAAATAAATAGGTAGCATTTTAATGGAATTTTTAAATATATACACTGGTGATCCACTCGATTACGTTGGTTACCGAAATGGTTCGTTTAGGTAACAAAATGTCGGAACGTCGAAGGTACGATTTTTCTTTTTTCCTTATTTCATGCGTTATAGGCAGATTCTCCACGACGTTTTTTCTCACAAACGTGTATCAGTATCATATGTTTTAGAAAATGTACATGTTTGCGAAAAAATAGCTCAGAAGACAACAGAATCGTCGATTAAATTCGTCACTTAAGTTACATGAACGGTTTGGGCTAAAAGTGCAGATCTTAAGTGTTTCTCGAAATACCGTTTCCGTAACTTAAGCGAGGAATTAAATCGACGATTCTGTTGTCTTCTGGACTATTTACATTCGCAATTATGTACATTTTCTTAAACATATTATACTGATACACGTTTGCTTTAAAAATGTCGTGGGAATTCTGCCTACAACGTGTGAAATAAGGAAAAAAGAAAAATCATACCTTCGATGTTCCGACATTGTGTTACCGAAACCAGCGTAATCGAGTGGATCACCAGTGATATACAAGGATTTTACATTTACCTTATTACCATTTTAATGCCTACCCTCTGGAAATTTCCATTTTATGATAAAAATAAGAGTGTATTGATTTTTATACAATACTGTTGATGAATAACATGACATACTTTCTTTTATGAAAAAAATAATATATTTAATTTTGATTTTTAAACATTTTTATCTATATTTGATCACTATTTCTCACGAAATATCGTTCAAAAACTAAGGCTTTTGATAATTGTCCAGCATGGTATAAATACCGATTAAAATATATATTACCTCAAACTAGTACGTCTTCATTTATTAAATTTATTTAAATGATAAAATAAGTTTTGTCAAGGGGATGAGTAAAATTATTATTACTTCAAGTTGTTAATTTGTAATAAGGCCAATCGGGTAGCTCAGAATACTTAGCTTGTTTTCGCGAATGCAACTAACGCCTGTCGGCTACCGGATTAACCTACTATTTTATGACAAACTCATTTAAATATGAATAGAATAGTGGCAGGTTTTATTTATATTCAAATGAGTTGCCCATAAAATAGTAGGTTAATCCGGGAATCGACAGACGTTAGTTGTATTCGCAAATACAAGCTTTGTACAAATACAACATTGTTAAATTGAACATTCACATATATTCACACAACAGCCAGTTTGACTCCTGAGAGATGGCACACAGTTGATTTATTGACATTGTATTTGTATTCAAAAGTAAAAATATTATTTTTTCAACATAAATAAATTAGACAAAATTTCAATAATGGACTAGTTTTATAAAATTCATTATAAAAAACACAATTCAACGTACCATTAAACTTGTGAAGATCTGAATCTGTATCCTTTTTCTATTGACTCCTTACTGAAGTAATAGTGGGCTTATTGGCGATTATTTATCACCTTGTTCATACTATGATGTCCAATGTCTCAGTCACATTATCATTTCCATGCGCTTTGTCATGTGCTGCTATAATACTTGATAATTCCTCCTCCTCACTGGTTAAGAAGTTTTTACTCTATGCCTTAATGAATTGATACTAGAAAATAAGATTGTTGGCAATAATAAATAATGAAGAAGTCTAGCAACTTTTATTTTCTCAAAACTAATTTTTCTGGAGTAAAAGTGATAATGTCTTGCCAGACGTAGGATGAAGAAAAGTTATAACTGAGAACCAGGTTAAATACCAATCTATGACGCTCATAGTCATTTACGTGGGGTCTAGAAAACGGAAGTGAAAATTAATTGGAACTAGTCGTTATCTTGTGCAGAATTGGTGGGTTGCCAAATAAGCACAATTGTTATTTCCATGCCGTGATACCATGTATACAGGGTGTCCCGAAAGTACCCCCCCCCCCCCCCTAGGCAGAGATGCATATGTCGTCATAGTATGTGTCGTATATCATTTTTAAGCTTATCCAAAGTTACATTGATTCGCTAAGTATCATGGTTCAACTCTCAAATGTGAAAAATGTCCAAAATTTTCAAGGCCTGCTATTATCAAATGGGGCCACTTTGCAACACCACTTCGTTAGATATCAAAAATATGTGTATTCGTGATACTATGTCAAATGAAGGACCCACGGTCCTGTGCTCACACAGTTTGGAACCCTCAGAGGAATGTATATCCTGACTTTCAACCAAAAATATTGATTTGGATTTGTAGTCTCGAACTTTGAGAAACTTAGATAGCACAGTTGTGTGACCTAGTTTGATTCCTTTAACCTTGAAAATTCAGAGCTCAGTAAGGTCTTCTGTGATTAAGCTGACCAAAATTTACATCCAAAAATCAATTTTGAAAAATCAACTTTTTTGACCTTTCGAAGGTCACTGAAGGTCAAGTAAAGGTCAATTCCTAAAACTAATGTCAGATTTGAACTTCTGGTAACCACGCCTAACAATCGACGTCAAAAAATAGCGGGGCACAGTTTTTAGTACGGTGACGCAAATCGACTGCTTTGAAGCAAAAACTATGATAAGGGTTCTCTAAAATTAATTTGATGAAAACAAATACGATTTCATGTGAAATAAAAACAGCATTCTCTTAGAAATGGTTTTAACTTTCTAATTATGATAAATGTTTTACGAGCACTGCTCGGATTTTTTCTGACTGGATCGTATTTGTTTTCATCAAATTAATTTTTTGAGAACCCTCATTATAGTTTTTGCTTCAACTCGGTTAATTTTCGTACTACTGTATTTTTTGACGCTGTACGGTGACGCCTGCTTACGCGATGGTTAGGCGTGGTAACTTGGAATTCGAAGATGAGTTTATCCATACATTTTAAGAAAATAGGTGTGTCAAAGAAGATGTTAAGCCAAATATTGACCTGATAACTCAGAAAAAATTCAAATATTCTGTACAGTCCTTGTTGCCCCCTTCTGAAAATGTATATCATTAGATTATAGATGATCATGGTCTTCTCTATGAAGGTATAGGCAGGAACATGTATATATTAGAATTAATTACCAGGTTATACAATGTAGATAAAATACATTTCTATCAATAGACTAAATACTACCTAATATGATAGGTAAAGAACAAATTTTCATGAGGAACTCAATTGCAAATGTCTAATGCCTGCACCCAATATAAACTCCAATTCTTAATCTTTATATTATTGTAACATTCACTCAACTCATTGTTGATTAGAAGAGAGGGTTTGCAATTTAAATTATGAATTCATTCTGCGTGGATTAAGGGGGGTGTAAAACATGTTTTTATGATATAAGAAATAAATGTTTATGATGAAAGAAAGAGGGCGTTCTGGTGAAAATCTCTACGTCTTGATTATACAGTGCGTATAAAGAGGAGGGAAAGCCCCAGAGTTTCAAGATGACAGACATAATTACCTCTCTTGCTTACCACCTTCGTTCGTTCGAATTTTCATCGGCTAGTTATCAAATACTACACTTCGATGGGATGTTATAATTGATATAGGCATATTCCATACACCTTTCTTTATCTTGATGTGAAATGAGAAGCTATGATATTGGTTAACACGCCAGAAATGAACATAATATTATTCGAAGCGTATTTCGAAAATTTTGAAACCGCCATTGATGACGTCATTTGTTTGTCGACTTTTGACCAATCAGCGACGATGTCATCTCAATACAGATTTACATTATAAGCGTATGTCATCTTTGAACCCTGGTGTTTCTCCCCCTCTGGTGCGTATAAAAAAAAGATTGTTATCTCGGAAAAGCACAAAACCAACTAAGCGTTAGCCCCTGGTATTAAATAAGCCCTTGTATAATCTGGAAACATCGTGGCCTTATACGGATGATCTAGATCTAGGATTGCTTGGAAATAATTGGATTTGACGCTTAGATCAATTTATCGATCAGCCTTTTACTAAGCTGAGTACACGGCATTCTGATAGTGGTATATTCTCCAATACCAGGATTTCCCCAATATGCATCTTTATTAAAGCCTTGTAAGGCCACCAACAGGCTCACAATTCCACATTGGAAAAGAGTGGAGACATGGCATATCTACTGGAACGTGTGTCAATTGACGAATGCTTCGTGATAGAGCAGGTAGCGTAATGAAGCTACACTTAGGATTGGCTCTGCTATTGTGCGAAATACAAAAAATATATTCATACATGTAGTTGCTTGAGTTGCAGAGTGAGCTCGTTTTTGAAGATCCGGTGAGGTTGAGGAGTATGATACTTCCTGCCTTCTAAGAAAGGCAAACGTTGACGAGCTGTATGATACTTCCTGCCTCCGAAGAAAGGCATACATCTTTGAAGATCAAGGCTCGCATGACAGCTGAGATCAACAAGAACTCTTTCGATAATTTGAATCAAGATTCAAGGACTCTACAAACGATTTAAGTCCATTAACTCTACGGAGGATTACAATCATGGACTCTGAGAGGATTGAAGAACATGGACAAGGATTACAATAGTTTACGGTTTCACTACATAGTAGCATACAAGGCTATCCTGTTAAGGTTTTCACCTATAGCCGTAGAGCAAATGAGACTGATACATGAGCTTTTTATCCTGTGTATACACTACATGTATATACATTAATTGATCCAAAATATCGAAATACACATTTATTGGAGGAACCAGCTTGAACTTGGCACGGTTGTATTGCTTTATAGATGAATAAGCTATACACAGTACTATAGTCTTATTTACTGTATGTCCTTGAATTGAATAGAAATATATTTCGCTATATGTATCCGACGAAAGAGTACGAAGCCACCCTTTTCTTTAAGTGAAAAATATTCAAAAGGCGAGCAAAGGATGGCTTCACTTAGATCGATACCGTACGTATATTGACATACTTATAGATATATTTTTAACATGACATTTAAGTAATGCTTATGTGATGTACATGTGATGATGAGATTGTAACCATGTAAATTGATTGCACGACATGATGTTTCGGGGCGATGTGATGTGATGGTCATGATTTTTGAAACTGACGGTTTGATGACTGATCACTTCGATGTGGCCATACGATGTGACAGTAACTACTATGTAATTTAACTGTATTTGATGTAAATATGAATGTGTGATGTGATTTGGTGTAGCTATGTGATGTAACTGTGACTACTGTATATGATGTGACTGTAATTCGATGATGTGAACAAGGTGATGTGATAATGATTATGTGATTTGGAAGTGACATTATTATGTAATTGTAACTATGTGATGTAACTATGTTATGTGATGATACTGTATGGTGTAACTGTGACTCGTGCATGGGTGTAGCTATGTGGTTTGATATAAATATGTGGTGTGACTGTGATTATGTGATAAAATACTGTAACTATGTGTTGTGGTGTGTGTGGTGTGACTGTGACAATATGATGTGACTTTGTGCTGTGTATGATTGGACCACATGATGGACGAGAGGGACGTTACTAGATAGTACAGTATAGACAGTATTTGTGTGATAAAACTGACTATGCATTGTTACTGTAACGATGTGATGTAACTTTATGGTGTGAAAGGTTGAACGCAGTCAAACATGTATTAATGGAAATGCAAGTAAATCGTGTATTTTATTTCAGGTTGGTTAAATTCAGAAAAAATAACGCCTATGAAGATATTGAAGGGATTACTAAAAATGAAGCACAAACACCTCATGAGACTCCCCTTGAATTCTCACATTTTCCTACTCCACAAGCGCCAACAGCTGGAGAAACTCTGCAGCATCCAGTGGATGGTAATGTTTAAGCTTATACAACGACGATTCTGTTGTCTTCTGAGCTATTTGTTCGCAAATATGTACATTTTCTTCAACATATGATACTGATACACGTTTGTGTTAAAAATGTCAAGGGAATTCTGCTTACAACGTGTGAAATAAGGAAAAATGAAAAATCGTACCTTCGATGTTCCGATATTTTGTTACCAAAACGAACCATTTCGGTAACCAGCGTAATCGAGTGGATCACCAGTGCCATTGGCGTTCTCCACGTTTTGTGTGGATGGAGTTTATTTGCGCCGTTATTTCACTAGACCTAATAATTAATAGTATTAAATTCAGCAAGAAACCTGATTGTACTTTTTATTGAAATGGCAACTTGAAAAAATGTTCGAAGTAAAAGAAAATCAATTTAGTTGCCATATAATATATTTATGCTTTTAAATTTTTTGCTTATGTGTACTGTAGGGTCGATGGGATCCTGATCAAAATATCCGAAATACTTATATAGGTGATGGCCTCTGTATTTCCTATTGGTTATAATAGCTAAAGCTTTCACACAATTTCTATTTTATAACCATCTTTACACACAGTATTGAATTTTATATCAAAATTATTAAAATGAAAATTGTAATATAACTAAAATAAATTATTTGAAAAGAAATTGAGAGGCCTAGCGCAGCATGCATCAAAAGTCCCAAAGTTTACCCATTTCACCTAATATATCATAACTTGAATTACTTTAGATACGTTCACAGTGGAACAGGCAGTCGACAACATTGGGTTCGGGGCATTCCAGGTGAAGCTCTCTTTGTTAACTGGCTTGGCGTGGGTGAGTGCTTTAAAGGGTTCCGATTAGCATCCCGTGTAAAAACAATATGGCGGCTCCAGGCGAATCAACTGGATCAGTCCATTTTTAAGAAATAAGGGGAGTTCTGTAAAATCCAGTTTATTGAAATTGTCTTTGAGTTAAAGTAATCCGTTTATAATGATTTTGAAAACGTTATCCAAAGAGTGATTGCGTTCAAAGAATACATGTACAACAGCCAATATCAATCCTTGTATTAGAAACCGGTTTGTCTTGCTTTGTTTCATTTGTAGGATATTTCATATGCCAAGCCGTGTGCTATTACGTTATGGGGAAATTTAGATGCCACTTTTTCCTTATTATACACAAATAGAAGATCCTGAAACTTCACCCATAAATGTGGAATTGATTTGTCAAAATAAAAATCATCCTTTTATAAATGTGTGACGATCTATAATATACTTATGCTATATAACAGTTAGAGGTGTTGACACAACGACCTCGAACCTGTGAACCCTTGAGTATTATTCCGGGATCGGGCCTTTTATACTAAACGGTGAGCAACACCAGAAACGAGCGTTCGATTTGCTAAACGATATGCGTCACCCTTTAAAGCAGTATGTTAAACTCATTTTCGAAACTTCTGTAGATCTGGTCATTAAACGAATTAGAAGGAACGGAAGGGAGGAAATGTACATGCATCTTGTTTCTCAGTCACATTTACTCTACGGCGACAGTAGTTCCCCGCAATCGAGATTTAGCATAAAAATCTACTCTCGCCGCACCTGTATCCCAGCAATTGGACAAGCCGCAGCTATGCTGTGCAGCGTTAGATTGGTCGCATTACGGCCAACGCCTCGGGGCGTCAGATTTGGTATTTGTTAAAATGTTACGGACGCCTTAGGACGAGACATTTTAAAGAGCACACGGCAAGCATAACGTTTCTGTCTCCACTAATTGAAAATACGTCAAACATCTGCCAAATGGGTAACAAGTGTGACTACTAAAGAGTGTCAACGTAGAAATTCTACGGCAGCTGTAGAATTGCTATTGGTCGTAAATGTATTAGACCATATGGTCGCCGTAGCGAATGGCTGGGGCATTATAAATCTGTTTAAATAAATGATAATTGATATTTTCAATGTTTAATAGATGGCAGACTCGATGGAAATGATGATACTGAGTATTCTTTCACCTGCTCTCCACTGTGCCTGGGGCCTCTCGTCATGGCAACAAGCACTTATCACCACAGTAAGTTTCTAGAAAAGAAAGATGTTTTTCATGAAATCAGCCTGTGCTTAATTAATCTTTGATGACTCGGATACCAGTTGACAGATTTTTTATATACTGTTGCATTTCACTGCTAAAGAAGAAACATTCAAGATGGCGGTTGAATGTAAAATGACTGCCATTTTTCACAAAAATGCGTAATTTGTGATAACTTAAATACCATTTATTGGGTTTGGTCCAACTTTATTGGGTATTTTCATATGGCAATAGATGGGGATACACTACCCTGCACAAGGAATTTTTGTGGTGGCTGCTGAATTCAAAATGGCCGTTCTTAGAAGAAATATAATTCAACGATTAAGACAATGCTATTTAAGTTACTGGCTGGTCCAGGTAATGCGCAAAGTGATGGATGATTTGATGAAACGTTTTGTTCGGTGTGGTACTCTAAGTCAACTACACAGGGCCTCCAATAAGGATCAATTAGCAATAATTATAAACTGCAATCACCTAAGCGTGAAATAAAGCTTTTTTAATTTTTCGATTCTCAATAATTCTTCAATTTCAGGTAGTGTTCTGTGGAATGATGTTTAGCTCTGGTGTTTGGGGGAAGGTGTGTGACCAATATGGCAGAAAAGCAGTAAGTACGGTAGACAATCACTATTCACTTTTTTGTCACACACGCTACCATAAACTATACGTATACATTACCATAACTACATTGCGATAAACTATAAGTATATAACGCCGTACACTGTTAGTATACACTACCTTACTTTACCATACATTGTATAAGTATCTATACATTACCATAACACACCCGAATAGCCTGACAACGGTAAAGTCAGATACCGTTGTCACAAATTGCGGACATAACCGTCGCTTCCACTGTTTAATCACTTGGTCCTCATTTCATGGGATTTTATCGTCGCTAATTCTGTGAATATCTTGTGATGATGTTTCATATGAAATCCCAATTTCGATCAAATTGGGTCGTGAATCGCCACAATATAGCGTCTTCGATATCGTCAATGACAACGGAATCTGAATTTGAGTAATTTAAAAATACCACGGCATATGGTTCAGTGTCCGTTGTCCCGTATCTCATTTTGATCGGTTAAAGACTTTATTTCGCGATGGTAGAACATTATTAACTGTATAATGAGTATTAAGACACTTTGGTTGATTGTTGTTCCAAAGGAATTAGGGTCTAGGTGCTCTATTAAACATACAGTTCAAGAAAATCTAATTGAACGACGGTTATGTTCGCCATTTGTGACAACGGTATCTGACTTTACCGTTGTCAGGCTATTCCGGTGTGCATAAAATATAAATATAAATCACCGTACATCAGTTATATTAGTACACATTATCGTATTAGACATGCATTCTTAGTAACATGTGTATATTTCAGGAGCTGATACTCTGTTCCTTATTCACATTTTACTTCGGTTTTCTGAGCAGTTTTTCCCCAACCTACCCATGGCTTCTTATACTTCGTTGTTTGGTTGGCTTTGGTATAGGAGGCGCTCCTCAATCGTAAGCTTAAGTCTAGTCAACATTATATATATATTAAATTATTCATTCATATTAAAGCGTAGGTGAATCTATGATTCCCAGCAATTATTTCTGGTTCTAGGTCACTTGACATAATACTTGAATACATAAATTATCTGCTAAAAACTACAATATCTGTATTCAACTGCAATGCCTGTATTCAAAACATAATGTATCAAATGGGTTATTTGAATAATAGGGAGTTTGAGCTTGCATATAAAATCGAAACGCCAACCTATACGTATGACAAATCGCAAACGTCGAAGGTACGATTTTTCTCTTTCTTTAATTCAGGCGTCGTAGGCAGAATCCCCGCGACATTTCTTCTCACAAACGTGTATCCATACCATATATTTTAGAAAATGTACATGTGAGCGAAAAAATAGCTCAGAAGACAACAGAATCGATATCGTCGATTTATTGCCTCACTTAAGTTACATGAACGGTAGGGGTTAAAAGTGCAGATCTTAACTGTTTTTCGAAATACCGTTTATGTAGCTTAAGTGAGGAATTAAATCGACGATTCCGTTGTCTTCTGGACTATTTGTTCGCAAATGTGTGCATTTTCTTAAACATATGATACTGATACACGTTTGTGATAAAAAAAATTCGAGGGAATTCTGCCTACAACGTACGAAATAAGGAAAAAAGAAAAATCGTCCCTTCGACGTTCCGACATTTTGTTACCGAAACGGTTCCAGCGTAATCGAGTGAATCACCAGTGTTAGTTGAAATTTATTTTTTGTCGTCTCTTATAACATTCAAATTGGATTGTAGTTTTTTGTAAGATATAACAGTAAGCCATAGACGGACCTTTCTCTCCGCTCAAAGATCATGACTCAAGATATTGTTCTCGTTTCCTATTTTCAGAATAGTGTTATACTCGGAATTCCTTCCCCAATCATCTAGAGCAAAATGCATTGTTATGATTGAGGTAAGTGAAAAGTAATGATTAAGTCAAGTGCATTGTGATGATTGAGGTAAGTGAAAAGTAATAATTAAGTCAAGTGCATTGTGATGGTTGAGGTAAGTGAAAAGTAATGATTAAGTCAAGTGCATTGTGATGATTGAGGTAAGTGAAAAGTAATGATTAAGTCAAGTGCATTGTGATGATTGAGGTAAGTGAAAAGTAATGATTACGTCAAGTGCATTGTGATGATTGAGGTAAGTGAAAAGTAATGATTACGTCAAGTGCATTGTGATGATTGAGGTAAGTGAAAAGTAATGATTACGTCAAGTGCATTGTGATGATTGAGGTAAGTGAAAAGTTATGATTAAGTCAAGTGCATTGTGATGATTGAGGTAAGTGAAAGGTAATGATTGAGTCAAGTGTATTGTGATGATTGAGGTAAGTGAAAGGTAATGATTGAGTCAAGTGCATTGTGATGATTGAGGTAAGTGAAAAGTAATGATTAAGTCAAGTGCATTGTGATGATTGAGGTAAGTGAAAAGTAATGATTGATTCAAGTGCATTGTGATGATTGAGGTAAGTGAAAAGTAATGATTAAGTCAAGTGCATTGTGATGATTGAGGTAAGTGAAAAGTTATGATTAAGTCAAGTGCATTGTGATGATTGATGTAAGTGAAAAGTAATGATTAAGTCAAGTGCATTGTGATGATTGAGGTAAGTGAAAAGTAATGATTGAGTCAAGTGCATTGTGATGATTGAGGTAAGTGAAAAGTAATAATTGAGTCAAGTGCATTGTGATGATTGAGGTAAGTGAAAAGTAATGATTAAGTCAAGTACATTGTTATGATTGAGGTAAGTGAAAAGTAATGATTAAGTCAAGTGCATTGTTATGATTGAGGTAAGTGAAAGGTAATGATTGAGTCAAGTGCATTGTTATGATTGAGGTAAGTGAAAAGTAATGATTAAGTCAAGTGTATTGTGATGATTGAGGTAAGTGAAAGGTAATGATTAAGTCAAGTGCATTGTGATGATTGAGGTAAGTGAAAAGTAATGATTGAGTCAAGTGGATTGTGATGATTAATGTAAGTGAAAAGTAATGATTGAGTCAAGTGCATTGAGATGATTGAGGTAAGTGAAAAGTAATAATTGAGTCAAGTGCATTGAGATGATTGAGGTAAGTGAAAAGTAATAATTGAGTCAAGTGCATTGAGATGATTGAGGTAAGTGAAAAGTAATAATTGAGTCAAGTGCATTGAGATGATTGAGGTAAGTGAAAAGTAATGATTGAGTCAAGTGCATTGAGATGATTGAGGTAAGTGAAAAGTAATGATTGAGTCAAGTGCATTGTGATGATTGAGGTAAGTGAAAAGTAATGATTGAGTCAAGTGCATTGTGATGATTGAGGTAAGTGAAAAGTAATGATTAAGTCAAGTGCATTGTGATGATTGAGGTAAGTGAAAAGTAATGATTAAGTCAAGTGCATTGTGATGATTGAGGTAAGTGAAAAGTAATGATTGAGTCAAGTGCATTGTGATGATTGAGGTAAGTGAAAAGTATTAAAAATATGTATGTACGAGGGGTGATCCAAAAGTCTTGGACGCCCCGCTCTAACTTTGCTATTTTCTAATATAATTACATGAAACTTTCAGATAATAAAGATCAACATCTTAACAACTTTGTGTATAAGTTTCAACAGAAACTAATATATTTTAGCTACTTTTCTAAATATTTTTTGATACCGGGTCCCTGCTACCCGGAACGGTATTCAAATATAGCAAATCACGGCACAACTGTTATAATATGGCACATACTTTAGGTGCAGGTGCACAACCTAACACCAGTCATGATATGAGAGAATTTCCGATTTTCAGTCTGAGTGTCATCTGCCATCATCATCTTCACATATTAAGACCTACTTTTCAACATATTTTCCACGAATTTGAACACATTTTTCATACCGCTTTACCAATGAATGAAAGACATTTATGAAACGGCCATTGCCTATGTGATACAAATGCTGCTGGAGTGCCAATCCAAACCTCATCCAATGAGTAAAAAACATTTTCTTTCAGCCCTCCTTTCAACTTGGAGAAAAGGAAGAAAATCACACGGAGCCATATCTAGACTGTATCGTGCATATGGTAATTTGCTCAATGTCAATAATAGTGAAAATATATTGTAGTATTCTTTGTTCCACTTTGATTTCTTTCATGTTCTGCATTTCAGCAGCCATCTTGGAGCAAAACTGACACCAGAATGAGGGTTGATTATCTGATGTCATTTTCTTAGAACTTGACATATACGGCAATTGCCATATGTGACATTATGATTAAAACACAATTAATTGGTTGTCTAGTAACAAAGGAAGTAAACTAACGTGGTTTAACATTCAAAATTTAAGGATAGATAGTAGTCAAGACTTGCAAAACAAGTCAAATAGTGGCAACATTTAAGGCTGAAAGTTGCCATGTGCGAATACCGTTCCGGGTGGCAGGGTCACTATATTAATAACTATCTAGAAAACTACATAAAATATATAATTTTACCATGAAATTAATACATAAAGTAGTTAGGTTGTTGGTCTTTATTATTGGAAAGTTTGAAGTAATTTTATCAAAAACCAACAAAATTAGAGCAGGGCGTCCAAGACTTTTGGATCACCCCTCGTAATTTACAAAATATATCAAATTTTGGACCCCCCTATCCTTTAGTGTTATAAAATACTTCATCCACATTAGGGTTAAGGTAAACGATATGTTACAAGGGGTATAGTAATGATTGGACAAATATATATGATTGATTTAAATGTATTTTTCAGATTAAAGTAAGTTGGAAGCTATAATAAAATTAATTTATCCTGTACATGCATATGACTCAATTCTTTGTTTAGTTTATTGTTGCTAATCATTAACAGAGACAAAGTAAATAAGTGGTATAACGACCGGAATCACGACTTTGGTGATATGATAATATGTCCTATTATCCCTTACTTATCACAGACAATGGTAGCTTGTACTTGCAATTAACAACTCATTTGTTATTTTAACTATATGCTTGTGATGTATATTATTATCGTTATAAGTATCTCAAGGACATTATAAGCTATCACTTCATCTTAAACCAGTGTCCATTTGTTGTCTTATTATTTTGTTTTGAAGTATTCGGGTATATGTAGACGGAAGTAGTTATTATGAAACCGCACAGGGTGTCCCATATATTCTTACAATAGAGGGTTTGCTTTATAATTATATTTTTGAAATCTCGCTGAATTCTCGATTAAATGAGATATAAGGAGATCTGCATTTGAACCATTTAAATATTTTCTTTTATTTGAGGGCATATTTTAATTCTTTATATCAAATTTTTTATCAAATAACTTTGGTTTCTGAATTTATCCACCTTCATTCAATTTTCAAGTTTTCTGAAAACGGTCGGGTTAAATTCCCATTGACATGGTGTTAAGGAAACCATTTGAAAGATCATTTTAATTACTCTTATAAGGATCACAATTTGAATGTTAAATTACAATCCACATATTAACAAGGTCATTTAGCAATAATCCAATGGTGTTTTATATGAATCCAAATTAAGATATTTGATAGATCAAGAAATTAGTAAGTGATTCTTACCTTCTTCTGCCATACAATGAATATGTTTTCATGTATTCTGGCCCTAAGTTTTCCAACCAACACACGCGCTGTCATGTATTTATAAACGTCTAATTAGCAAATACTCTATTGCTTAAAGACAGACTTTCTGAACCACCTGGTTGCTCATTAGACCTTATAAGGCAAGTCACATCCATTAGGCTTGTCAATCAAATCCTTATCCAATCAGCTAATAGTGATGCTTTAAGGGATAATATTTATGTTGATAAACATAACAAAAGCACATGTTATAATTTCATACTTTACAGTCAGTGAACATGAACTGAATGATAGCAATTGACCAACATCTTTTTAACCAAGAATCTTCATACATTTTGGTTATGCTTGCTACATAGATTTTCCAGTTAATTTATGTAAAGTAAATGTAGGTTTCCTTTAGGTAAATTGATTCATGTTCTTATAATCCGTAACATCTAAATTTAACATCATAAAGCAATTGCTTTTGGGGTCATTTCAAGAAATAAATGTAGATACCAGCACAAAAGCTTAAAATGTATGGGAAATTCTGTACAAATTGAAAAATTGTATTGGTTCTTTCATCTGGTCCCTACCTACCACAAAGGGTTGCACTAAGTCATGCCCTTCATTTATGCAATAATTCTGCACTTTTCAACCTCTATTACCACGTTGTACCAGGGTGTCTCCAAATTTGAAATTGATGATCTTTTATATTTATGTAACCATATGCAAATGGTAAGAGATAATGAATTGTCCCTTTCCTAGGGGTGTTCCATATGGGACCCGTTCTTATACATTTTCTCTAAGGTAAAACCCCTTTGTAAACAGGTTTTTGGACAAATGGAACATCCAAAATAGTGAATTTGTGCTTGTGTTGTTCAGTAGACCTCATTCTTACAAAGTCATAATACAGTGAACATGTCTCAATCACCAGAAAATCAGAGTGCTGTCATGTTCAAGATTTAACTAACAGAATATGAAACTATAAATTAAAGACAGAACTTTCTTCACACTGACTTGCAGAAAGTACTCGTAAAAGCAAGTTTGAGCAAAAAGAAACTTTTGTACAATCATCAAACTCTAGAAAAGGCAATAGATGACTTTCTTATATCAATGTTAGCCAAGTGAACCATGGCCAAGTACACTGTAGTAATCTCAAGTCTTTTGAACAGTATACAGTTACCTTGAAGTCATTTGCATCAAGAAAATGCATTGGATTTTGTAATTATATAATGTCTTTGGAGTCATATCTTTAATATACCATATGTAGGTAAGTAAATGACACATTTCTTATGATAAACAGTAGCATGAATTATGTTTTATTGAAATGGTACCTATAACATGTGCTTTTGAAAGATTTACAAACAAACTTTACATCATGTGACCCTGAATACCTCACGTCATTGGTTGAAATTTGAATTAGGCCACTCCTCTCAATTTAAAAAATTACAAATTTTCAAATAAGGATTTCTAAAAAAGTAATGCATATTTGCAATAATTGATTAAAAGATTTCAAGGAGAATGTATTCATAAACATCTGTGACAATTTTTATGGTGATCTGTTGGCTACAACTAACAGAAAATCAAAATTATTCCCCTTGATTTGAATTTTTCATATTCCTAATATTTTCAAATTGAGAATGACTCCATTTTTACTGGTCAAGCTGCTTTTATAGTGGAGGCTCTGTCTTTAACGTTAACATGTATGAGGAACCATATACATGTAGTACGTACAGGTATATTTGTCAGTGTATGACAGTGCGTGAGTGTCGTGTAGTTCGAACTATAAATAGGACTATCCAATTCACTCTGACTACGTGAACACAATCGTTTTTGGACAACCTGTAGACGGCTGACATTAGATAACTTGTTGATCAACATTTCTGTTGATCAGTTACTAGACGAATGATCAAAACAATTCCTCCCTGTTATTGAATGAACATGTTAAATGCTCCGTTTACGTTACAAAAGTATTATTTTGGCGTTTTGAGAACTACATTGTATTTGTTCTCAAACGCTTGAATTTTCTTATGATGCATATGATGCCGAGACACGTTTGGTCCAAAATTTCATAAATATTCTTACCTTTTCTCGTGATATCATGGAAGATCGTTCCTCCAAGGCTGCTCCATTTTGACCAGTTTAACGAATTCCACCAGTGACAAGTTCAAGGCTTCTGGTTTGACTAAGAATAAAGCAAACTACGGTTTATTATCAAGCCTGCTTATGAGCAAATATAACCAATTGCTATGCACTTTTCAGATATTCTGGGCATTGGGAGCTTGCTTTGAAGTTGTTCTGGCATTACTCGTCATGCCTCATCTTGGTTGGCGCTGGTTGCTAGGTCTATCCTCAATACCGCTGTCTATATTCACAGTCTGTTGTGTGGTAAGTAAATTATTCCATCAGTGATCCATACCTCATTCATAAACAAACTATGACCATACCTCATTCATAAATCCATCCTTGCTGCCCATGCACCTCTTTCACCAATCAATCCACGATACATACCTCATTCATTAATCCATCCATGCTATCCATGTACCTCTTTCACTAATCAATCCACGATACATACCTCATTCATTAATCCATCCATGCTATCCATGTACCTCTTTCACTAATCAATCCACGATACACACCTCATTCATTAATCAATCCATGCTATCCATGTACCTCTTTCACTAATCAATCCACGATACATACCTCATTCATCAATCCATGCATGCTGTCCATGTACCTCTTTCACTAATCAATCCACGGTACATACCTCATTCATTAATCCATCCATGCTGTCCATGTACCTCTTTCACTAATCAATCCACGATACATACCTCATTCATTAATCCATCCATGCTGTCCGTGTACCTCTTTCACTAATCAATCCACGGTACATACTTTATTCATTAATCCATCCATGCTGTCCATGTACCTCTTTCACTAATCAATCCACGATACATACCTCATTCGTTAATCCATCCATGCTGTCCATGTACCTCTTTCACTAATCAATCCACGATACATACCTCATTCATAAATCCATGATAATACAGCATTCATTGATTCATCTATAGTCATAACGCATTCATTAATTCATCCACGAGCATTAACACCTCATCTCCAAATAGCTCATACATGAGCATGTCCAATTTGTTAATCCATCCGGGATTCATACCTATTCACTAATATAGCTATGATCAGGTCCCATTCACTAATCCATCCATGATCTGTACATATCAACTAACCCAGCTATAATCCATACCTCATCCACTAATCCAGCTATGATCACGCCCCATTCATTAATCCATCCACGACCCATGCCCCATTCACTCCTCCATCTATGATCCATACCTCATCCACTTATCAAGCTAAGATCATGCCCCATTCATTAATCCATCCACGATCCATAACTCATTCACCAATCCACCTATAATCATGCCCCATTTACTAATCCAGCTATGATCATACCCCATTCATTTATCCACCCACGATCCATACCTCATTCACGAATCCACCTATGATCATGCCCCATTTACTAATCCAGCTATGATCATACCCCATTCAGTTATCCACCCACGATCCATACCTCATTCACGAATCCACCTATGATCATGCCCCATCCATCTACTAACCCAGCTATGATCATACCCCATTTATTAATCCAGCTATGATCACGCCCCATTCACTAATCCATCCAAGATCCATACCTCATTCACTAATTCATCGATGATCACGCCCCATGCATTAATCCATCCACGACCCATACCCCATTAATTAATCCAGCTAATCCAGCTAAGTCAGAATATATACCGAGAATAAAACATAACGACAAAGACAATTCGTTATTTAATTTTTTAATTTTTTTTCGTTATAATTAAATACACGTTATAATTACATCTTGTACACTATGGTCGTACCCCATTCAATTATCCATCCACGCGCCATACCTCATTCACTAATTTATTTGAAGATGATTTGGGCAAGTATACCTTAAATTGCAAATGTGTTTGCATCTTATTCCTTGTATATTCATTCAATAGATGTCAGTGGTACTATTGTGGTGATTTGTTCTACAATGAAATCAACATGTCAGTGGTATTTTCAGTCGCCAGTGACTTGCTCTATGATTGAAGCAGCGTGTCAGTAGTATTTTCAATTGCTTGTTTTTTAATAAATCAACATGTCTAATGTACTTTCAATTACCTGTCCTATGATAACGTTTTGTTTTATGATTATATCAACATGTCAATGGTACTTTCATGGATTAGTTTCTCGATGAAATCAACATATCGATCAATGGTACTTTCAGTGATCTGTTCCTCTCCCAAATCAACCTATAAAATATACTTTTAGTGACTAGTTTGCCGATTAAATCAACTTGTCATTGTACTTTTAGTGACTTGTTCTACGATTGAAGCAACATGTCAGTAGTATTTTCAGTTGCTTGTTCTACGATAAATCAACATGTTAAAGCTACTTTCATTGACAGGTTCCTCAATGAAATCAACATGTTAATGGTACGTTCGGTGACAAATTCTTCCATTAAATTAACATGCCAATATATTTTAGTAATCTGTTCTAGGATTGAAACAATGTGTCATTGTGCTTTTAGTGACTTGTTTTACGATTACATTACGATACTTTCAGTGGCTTCCAGAAAGTGCAAGATTTGATGTTGCCAGGGGCAACCCAGAGAGTGCGCTAAAAACATTGGAACGAATCGCCAAAGAAAATGGAAAGCCAATGCCACTGGGCAAGCTGGTCGAACCAAATATAAAAGTTAGTATGTAATCTGATCATCATGTATTTTCAGCACTTTTAAAAAGTCTATGCCGGGGTCGTAATTCTTTTTTATTTTACTTTGTCTTTATGATTGCATGTTTGTATGTATATTTTATGGAATGATGATTTTTGGAATGATGGTCCATGAGAATCCAAGGATAGTATTGCTAGTTAAGTGTTAACATATATGTCCATGAGAATCCAAGGGAGGTGATTGTATTACCTTTTTAGTGGTTACATTTATTTCCAGGAGGTTAAAAGGGGAAGGATTGCCGATTTGTTTACCCCTGTACTTCGAACTACAACAGTATTACTATGGCTGATATGGTAAGTGTCAAATGTTCTTATTTTAAATGAGGTTTGTGTTCTTGTTCTTGACACTGTCAACAGAAGAACCAATATGACAATCACTGGTATTTCCTTCTTCAAACTAGTTAAAATGTCGGAACCACGAAGATAGAATTTTTCTCTCTTCCATATTTCGCGAGTTGTATGCAGAATCTGCACAACATTCTCAGCACAAACATGGCAGATTTCTGTGTAGCGTATCTTTTGCTGATTCCATATTTTTGTTCATTCAAAGGTTGTCCAATGCCTTCTCTTATTATAGTATTGTACTGATTTCTTTGTAGCGTATATTTTTTGCTCACTCCATTTTTTGTTTCATTCAAAGGTTGGTCAATGCATTCTCTTACTTTTACTATTATTATAGTATTGTTCTGATTTCTGTGTAGCGTATCTTTTGCTCATTCCATATTTTCGTTCATTCTAAGATTGGGCAATGCATTCTCTTACTTTTACTATTATTATGGTATCGTATTGATTTCTGTTTAACGTATCTGTTGTTCATTCCATATTTTCGGCCATTCAAAGGTTGGCCAATGCATTCTCTTACTATGGTGTTGTACTGATGACAACAGAACTGTTCCAATCTGGAGAATCATGTACAGGTAATTTAAACTAGATATCGAACCTCAAAAGAAACATTTCGAAAATTGATTGGAGTATCATGAACGTTCTCTTAACACGTTTAGCTTATGCTACCCGCGATGTAGTAATCAGTAAATGATTGAATCGTGTATTATGATGATGATGAACCTCCCTTGTATCTCATATGATGCTATTTCCAACTTACTTAAACTATGCCATACATGCAACTGTTATGTGAAGAACTTCTTTATTTCATAAGTGGGTGATGGTCTCCCCGAGGCTTCGTGTAGTTTAGAATGCAAACAGTTGACAACAAAGGACTATACTGATCTGTTGTGGACCACATCGGCAGAGCTACCAGGTTAATATGAAAATTAATTATAGACATTACAGACAGGAAGCTATTTGGGATTCAAGCTTAGTCAAGTGAGCATTTTTGATTTAAAATCCCCACGTTTCTTTATATTTGATTCAATATTTATAACAACGCTATTGCGGAGGGGGAATACCAACGCTAAATCCGATAATCGCATCAAAAACTACTCTAAAAATGAAACAAATGCAAATATAAAGTGTTTGATTTATTCACGAATAAAATATTTTTCATTTTACCTTTTAGGTTTATTATTCACCGTAGTTATTATAGAGTGTGTAGGGAGAAAGAAAACAATGACGCTTGATTTTCTGCTCTTCTCGCTGTTCGTCTTTCTAGTCAACATCTGCGTCTCAAGGTGAGGAGACCTTAAAGCTCACTTCTTGGTGAATGATTGTCATCACATCATGAATATTATTGCAACATACAGGGTGAGCCAGAAAAAGGTAGCCCAAACAGATGTTAATAACTCGGTCATTCAGCCTAGATTTTAAGTCATATCTGGCACATGTTCTTTCATACAGATTTTATGGGCATCTTATAAAACGTGCGCCAAATGCCAAACTCACCCGATAAGAGCCCCAGAATGAAAGAACATTAAACAAGATTTAATTGTTCCAAGTATAACCTTAAACCCACGCTGAATGACCAGGCCATTACTAACATTTATTTGGGCTACATTTTTTGGCCCACTCTGTACATATGCAGCTCAATGGCTGAGGCGAAATAAAAAGAATAAAGTAAGAAAATAAAGTCAGATGAAGGTATACCAAGGGCCCGTCAGGGTCAGGGTTAGGGTTATGGTAAGGGAATGAGATCCGATATTTAAACCAATGATTAATTATATTATGAAGAAACAAAGTCAAATGACCATAGCTGTTTTCCAGTCAGAGAATTATAAGCACAGTATGGAATACAATCCATTATTTGAACACATCCAAAAACAAGCGCACAATCGAAATGGGATTTACTGAAGACATCATTTTTGATTGAATATATGGTGCATATGATTGACCCTTTCTCTCAAGAAATATCACGAAAAAGTCATGCAATGGAAACTAGCAAAAATATAGTATGTAGACTACCATCCGAATTCATGAAAATATTATTTTCCTATATAATTGTACCTTTACAACGGAAAGAAGAAAAATATCAACCCGACCGTTGAAACCAGTTATTTGACGAAATCCTCTTCGACACCATACGTAGCATCATCAGTGACGTAATACACGTGTATGGCTGGTCATCTGGACCAATGTAACGTCATACCTTTAACGCCGTAAAATTTACTTTTAACGCCGTAAAATCTTTGAACGGCGTCATCAACGACTTTTTGCGGCCGTCAAAAATTATTTCGGGCGGCCACAAAAATGTCTGAACGATGTCAAAAACATTTTCGAACGGCGTTAAAAATGAAATGGCGGTACTTTTGTCACCTTTTGACTCCGTTCAAAATGATTTTTGACGCCGAACAAGATAATTTTTTGACGGCGTTAAAAGTAGATTTTACGGCGTTAAACGTATGACGATACATTGGTCCAGATGGCGAGCCATATGATTATTGAACATAACTGCTTTATTCGCCCAACCATGGCAATAAATCAAAATAGATTTAAAGTTTTACATATGTATAATCTGCAATGCAGTCCAAGCCAGTCATGCGGTTATTGAAGTGTTCACAGAAATGCTCGTAGCCATTACCTTATTTCGAGAATACCTCTGCTTTTATTTTAAACAATTTTAGTGACGCTTAAGTAGTTTTTAGGCCTTTTGTTCAAAATGATCTTACCATTCAATTTAAATTGCTTGCAGTGTCATCTTCACATATTTTATTTTACCGAACTTAGTATTCAATTGACTATGATTATTTGCAGAGAAATCCTCACATCTTTTCTTTTTGCTGCCCGAGCATTCATCAGCGGAGCATTCCAAGCAGCATATGTCTACACACCTGAAGTTTACCCAACGACGTCGCGAGCAATCGGTCTGGGATCCTGTAATGGCATGGCCCGTATTGGCGCGATAGTCACACCTTTTGTTGCTCAGGTACATTAAACACAAACTCTGTCACTTTAGTCACACCATTTGTTATTCATGATGAAACATTCAGATAGTCATGTTGATGTTAATTCTTCCTAAAACCTTCCATTAGCCATGATGAAATCTTCCATTGGCCATGATGAAACCTTCCATTAGCCAGGCATGATGAAACGTTCCTTTCAATACTTTTTATGACATCCTCCATCTTATATACCCCTGTAGACAAAATGCAACTCTTCTGAGGTCATAATAATACAGCCTTTATCTTGCGTTATGTCTTGCTTTTCAGGTAATGCTGAAACATTCTGTTCATCTTGCCATTTCCATATATGGGGTTGTTTGCCTTCTCGCCGCTGTTGCATCCATGCTTCTTCCAATAGAGACTAAAGGCCGGCAAATGAAAGTGAGAATACTTTGTAAAACATTTCTTCATCATCTAGAGCAACGTCCATATTTGATCAGAATACCTCAGATCTGTACGTTTGCATGTTTTTGAAAACATTGTGATTTTTAACCTTCTATCGTTTGGTGCCTCTACAACATAAACGTTATTTGTAGGACATTGGAGTTGATTTGATAAAATGCAATATGAATCTAATTCCAGGACACCCATAAAGAAGTTATTCAATGAGTCGTGCAGTGTTCGGTAATAATGATGACACTTTCACGTGTGAGGTATTCACCAACGAAATACAAAGGAACACAGCAGAAGTGTATTTTTCACGGAGCTGTGGAGTCTTTACCATGCAGAAATGGCGTATTAAGACAAAGTGTTCAGCTTTCAACATTGGCATGCGTTGCCAGTGATATGATCATCACATGTACAAATATACCATCTGTTCTATAGTGACACAATCATCAAGAGAAATGTGACAGTTATAACAGAAAATAATAAATAACTCTTATCAATGGGCGGAGCAAAATGATTTTACCAGAATTTTAAAAATATATTAATAAAACATCATTTATAAACTAAACCTGGAAAGATTTTCCACATATGTTTTCCTCGTATGGACTTAAGAATTGAAATTAACACCTTTTGTACACCTTCTAAAGACTTTTGGGGTCCAAACAGCACATATTTTGCAATAACTCTGCAACCAGAGACGCTTTTCTCATTGTGATTTCAATTTTAAATAGGTTATTCAAAATACCTTTAATAATTTCATTTTATTTTAGTTAAATATCTCACACAGAGACACCATAGGGCATATACGTGTGGTAGGATTATTTATCTTGATATCCTAAGGTGAAAACAACTCCCCATATAAATCTATAATAATATATTATATGCATTTTGTGTCTTAGCATTTTGCATGCAGCATTTATATATAACGATATATAATTTTAATATAATTTTGGTGATAGTGATGTTCTTAGAACTCAGGTAGCACAAAAGTTGCCATGCGATTCCAATCTGGTTTGTTTTATAGGAAAGGAATTGAATTGATTAGATTAATTTCTATTTGCAATGGATAGAATTATTATTTCTGGTACAATTATTGCAAAGAATGTGGGCTTAAGGGTTAATTATGTGGGGGATTTCTGTTGTAGACAATGTTTAGAAATACTCACAAAATACAAATCACAAATTTTCATTTCCCGACTATATTTTTTCAAGCTCTTTTCTAAGTCAATCCTAACGTCCACCTTCAATAACCCTACTATCACACCAAACTAGTTCTCACTACGTTCTCGAAAACGGGCTTAAACTGTGGACGAACGGATTTGACGTACTAAGAACCCACTAAGAACCGTTTGGGATCTGTTTACAAACTTCATGAAACTACTAGAACGAGTAGGTCCTCCAGCACCTAGAGCATGCTCAACATTTTCTGGTGATCATCAAAACGTTGCCGAATCGGTTTTAAACTGTGTGCGAACTGAATGAACGTAGCTACAACGTTCTACGGTCTGTTTACGAACTTCATGGACTTTCCCGGACGGGGTATGTGATTTAGAAATTTGAATCGATTCAAAATTCGATGGCGACCATACCGTTCTGTAATCAGGTCTTGATGACCTTCTAGACTAAGGGACGGTTTATACAACGTTGCACACCGATGTGGTGCGACCTGAACGAGCTGCGAATCAGATGGACGTATTGAAGACTGTTTATGAACGAAGTAGCTAATTATTTTAGACATATATCCCGACCGCAGCCAGATCGAGCCCGTTTTACGACATTTTCGTAGGACTGGCAAGAACGGGTAAGAACTAGTTTGGTGTGATAGGGGGGTAACTTGACAAACAGACAGCTGTATATAACGAATAGCATTAAATAATTTGTTTGTATGTAAAAATATTATAGATATAAGAGCAATAAATATAAGAAAATGAAACGAACACTTCCTGTGAGTCACGCGCTCTTCATCATAAATATTATTAAGAATAATTATCACATTTGCAGACTAAATTGTATAAAAGAGACAATATTAACGAAACGGCTTTACTTCTTGATCGTCGTTCAGTTGACTGTATCCCTCAAACGTGATCTGCGCGAAATAATATATTCTTATCAGACGATTACCAAAATGGTCCGAGATCGTCTCGAAGAGTTTCAGAGAATGATGGCAGCAGAATTAAACCGGGATTCCAGCTTTAAAAGATCTTTACGTAGAGGAATCAAATCTGTTAATGCCTGTTCATTTAGGAAGGCTAAGGCCCAGTGCGCCAAGGGCAATGAGGCTAACGAAGATTTTAGGCACAATGATACAACAGCAAAGCCGCAAGATTCGAATGCAATGGAAGAACTCCTCTTTCAAGTATCAGCAATTCGAAAAGATCTAGCAAAACTTGCCGAAATGGAAGGAGAACTGAGTAAGATATACAGCGAAATCGTTTCATCTCCGACGCCACAGACGCAGCAACAGCTGAAAGCAAATTCGTTAAAGTCCGCCGCCATGACGATGATTTCCGGAATCAAGCTACACATTTCTGTAATCAGAAACGATGGTTGTAATGCAACAGATCAGACTCCGTCCCAGAGTTCCTCAGAGAAACGCATGCGCGAAACTCAATGCGACTGCCTCAGTATCGAATTAGTGAATATAATCGAGAAAATAAACATAACTGAGGTAAAATATTACGAACAATGCCGAGAAAAAATCGTTCGACAACTGGACATAACCGGGCAGAATATAACACATGCACGAGTAACAAATTTACTCTCGAAGCAGAATTCTCAGGTTTTTACCCCGGGAATTTCAACAGAACAGCAATTCGCATCAAATAGCCGACGTGACGAAATCTTAGGGCTTGAAGCTAAAATAATTGAACTGAATGAATTATTTGTGAACATGGCTGATACCATTGAGGTACAAGGAGGTTGTGTGAACAATATAGAAAGACACGTTTCAAAAACACTTGATCACGTGGAGGTTCTGGATGCCAATATAAAACGTAAACAAGCTAAAAAATGCAAACGAAAAAGAAGCAAATTGCTGAAGATTTTGAAGATTGGCGGTTTTGTTGTTTTATGTATAGTTTCATGTGGTATTGCATTAGCTGTAACATGTGTGTAGCTGTTCTACTTTGCAATTATAGTGTTTATGATAATATTACATTTCTTAGTTCTCAAGACAAAAAGGCGAATGATTGTTAAATTAGTTGATTCTGTGTTATTTATATAATATAAATGATATACCAGGTATTCAAAATTGTGCTATTTATTTTGAGTGACTACTTGTACATTATTATTTTGAGTAACTATCTGTACATTGTTATTTTGAGTGGCTGTTTGTATTTTGTTATTTTGAATAACTATTTGTACATTGTTATATTGAGTGGTTATTTGTATTTTGTTATTTTGAATAACTATTTGTACATTGTTATTTGAGTGTTTATTTGTATATTGTTATTTTGAATAACTATTTGTACATTGTTATTTTGAATGGCTATCTGTATAATTGTAATTTTGAGTGGTCTAATGAAATTCTGTTTCTTAACGTTCTAATTGTTGTTGAATAGTATAGTTTACATGTATATTGTTTTCAAGAATAAAAATGTTTTCATGCTCGCATAACATTTCTTTTTATTAGTTTTATTTTATATTGTAAGAGACTTTTCCGATTTTGCAAAACGGAATTCACCCCATCTCCCATTAATGCCTACATGTATGTAGGTCACATTTGCCCCGATTCATTGGCCGGCGCCAGGCCGATTGCAGTGTTTTGTTTTAGTTCACATCTGACCTCAACTTTGAGAATTGACCTACAATTTTAACAAAATTCTCAATCGGCCGATGAATCGGAGCAAATGTGACCTAGATATAACCAGGCTATGCGCTACATGTATATCAGTTAAAAATACTTGTACATGTACCCTGTCAGGGGGTAGAGAGGATCGAAGTTTGGCGAGGCAAATTTGGATTAAAAGTAAAATAACACTACCATGACTGAATTAATATTTCTTGTAAAATTTTGTTGAGCCAACTGCAACATGCCTTTGTTAGAGTTATGGAAAAAGAGACAGAGGGTGTGTATCACAATGGACCACACCATGGTTACCATGGTTACTGGTACTGGCACTGAAAAGTGAATAGCTTGAACATTATGGTTGTACACAAATAGAATAATATAACAAACATTTTATTTTTGCTAATGTAATTGTTTTCTTTATTAAAACTATATCTACTTCATAAAAACATACCATGAAGATGGCGCTCAAGGAAAATAGGGCCATTTTCTAATTAATTTGCATAGTCTAACCTAACTCATAAACATTGTAAGGAAGTATGCAAGTGAATAAAAATTGCAATTGCAAGACCAATAAAAATATGTGTTATTTAGAAGATTTGGATAGAAGTTACACAATGGCATATACTTTCGTGTAAAGTAATAATATGTACGATTCTAAATCAGAATATTTATCCTTTCTTTCCTCTGCAACAAAATAACAAAATATTACAGTAATAATACAGTGTACACCTATGATTTTACGTGTAAATACAATTACAGCACAAATGCGTAAACAAAACTACATGTGCAATTTGGAATGTCAATTACGTTTTAGAGAATATCAATATGCAAAATACTTTCATTTCAATTACAATTTACATTAAGTACATCTGTACAAATGGAATGGAATATGAATATCCATACAAAGTTAATACAATGTGGAATGTTGATTATATGACTGGGGACTGTCAAAATATTCATGCCATATAAAATAGATAAAAAATAATAAAAAGTCACGAATGGTGTGCTTTTGCTTAGTCATATGTCCATAAAAATTAATTGGAATAGCTAAAAGCACAATAACACAGGGAGTTTAAAGCTTGCAATGCTTCTCACCACCTTAACGTGAACGGAAAATATCTAAGCATTTTGATTTTACATACAAGCTTAAACTCTGTATTAAAGCAAAATCTTAAGACCACCAATTGGGTATAAGTGCAAACTCTCGCCTCTTTTACAAATAGTCTTTGAATTAATTTAGAGTGACATGTTTGAATTCCCAAAATTCAATTCTTTTTTACAAAACTGCTTTTAAATGGTGCTTTTCAATTTGCAAAATAAGTAATGGTAATTATGTAGCACTTATATCACATTTTAAAATAATAATTTCATATGATATACATTAACATATTGTCAAAACCCCTTTTTACAAGATAAAAATCATTTGGAATTTAAAAGCACAATAACATAGTTTATCAATATTGAATCCACATTTTAAAAGGTATACATGTAAAGTGCCAAATGCTTTAAAATCTTTGACATAAATATATAAATGCCATAAATCCGAAATTCCTATAAAATGTGCATTGTAAAGAGTGAGTATAATATAATAATAATAGTTATCAAAATACATATTGTATGTAAATATATTTGTTTCAAAAGCTTAATATATCTGTACACAAAAGGTGTTTGTAATAACTCAGCTGGTATATGTACATGAATATTTTCCATTTTAAGGAAGGAAGGAAGGCATAGTAGAATTAGTAGAACTAACCAGAACCTTATAGTATGTTTTAAACTAATCCCACTAAGGGTCAAATTACCAGAAACTTTCATAAAATCAAAAATTCTCTACAACAATTGAATAAAGAATTGTGGAATAAAGAATCATTTCTGGTAATTACGTCTATTATGTAAAACGCTCTACTCATGTTAAAAAGTGGATTAATTGTAGAATTGATCCACAATCATACACGCACATCAGATAATATTCTAGTCAAACTACTTGAATAATCTACTTGAATAACTGTATACAATATGGAATATAATATTTGCATGTACATCAAGCCAGATCTACATTATTGCTTATTTACAAATCTTCTTAGGATCCTATATTGGGTAAGTCATTCATTTTTAAATCATCTTGAGCATAACTATTTTAAGACCTGGCCATAAACCAAACCTGTCAAACATGCCATGTTTGGTCACCAGTGAGATTTTCAACTCTCTTTTTAACACAATAACATTATATGTAAACTGTAAAAGTAAGTAATGTATCAATGGTCTAACTTCATGGATTTCCACTTAGCACCATATACATACATGAACATAATAGGAAATACAACTTACAACTTTCTATATTTTCTATGACGTAGTTAGTTTAGTCTTAGTTTAATTTTGTATATTGTAGTTTGTAGTGACTAATATGTCATTGCAATGACATCAGAGAGTCAATAAAAGATATATAAATAAAAGTTATAAATCATATGTAAGATTAAAATGTTCGAGAAAATGAGTTTTGAATTCTATTATAAACTATAAATGTTCTGTAATCTCAATCACTGAGAAAATTACCTTATTTAACACCTTATTTTGTAATTAAAAAAAAAACAATAAGACACAATTTGAACAAATATAACAATACTAATTGAGATGTGTCAAACATTCCTACACATAAATCTTTATTAATGTGACTCATCTTCATCTCTTGACGTATATCCTAAATGAGTAGGTGTTGTCTGCTGAATACTAAACGTTCTTGTGCCAGAAAACACAACAGACTCTGTCTTTTGTTCTTGGTACCATATGTTTGGAATGAAATGAAACATCTATCCGAACTTTGTTGGAACAAAATGACATATACACAACGTGTATAGGTCTCTCCAAAGTGTAATTGTACAAAGAAAAGTTAGGTTCATTTTAAAAAGGTATCTTATTAATAAAATAAAAGATATACTTTTAATAATTTTATCTATTTTAATATTTTCAGATATAATAATATATAATACTCTCTTTTAAATGAACTACCTTTCCATTGTATAACAATAATATAGAGAGATCTAAATTAAAGAAAATGTTGGATATGCCATTTTGTTCCAACAAGGTTCAGATAGATATTTCATTTCAAAAACAATTGCACTAAAAAAGAAAATTATCTGCTATAATAAAATAATTATATAAAATAATTATCAATAATTTTCACATTTAATTGTTGTCAATTGGTGACCATTACATACAGGATGTGCTTTTTACAAATTGTAAAACAGAGAGAAAAACAATGTTGAATTTTAATCGCCATATCACTACCAATCCTTTAAGATAAATCGTTTTGGACACTACTTTCAAAGTTTCAGTAAAAAGGTTCTTATATTATTATTTCAATAAGTTTGTCAACCTCATACATTAGCAGAAACTTTGTAGTAAATGTGGCTAGTTTTTTTTAAAAGTCCCTTGAAATACAATTTGATAATAAAATTGTAAACTGATGCAGAGATTCAAATTGATGAGTTTGTTAAAGCAATTTACAGAATGTGAAATTATAAAAGGTCACACTGTAAACAAAACCTGTGTCAGTGTAGACGAAAAGAGCCAAAGTGTGTGGCATAATTGTTTTAAAGAGAGTTCTCTTCAAAGTCATTCTCACATGATGGGCCACACACAATCTTTTAAAAGGTGACTCTAACCATAGAAACCCCATACAAATATAGATATAGCAAGGATGAGAATTGCATTAATAGATGTGATGATGCGAGATTTTTTTGTCTCTTCCAGTGAGCAACGTTGCTTTTCTTGATGGAAACGTTCTTCATCAGTGAGGTTGTCAGCTTTTGGTTTTCCTCCACAGACTTTAAAGAGAAGTTTGTAGAACGTTGAATGGTCTTCTTCCACTTCTTCCAGTTTCACTGAAAATAAGATTCATAAAATGAGTTCCATTTTAAAATGACAAGTAAGTGCTGCATCATGTTGAAAATCTGATATATTCACCCAGCTGTTGAAATACAGTTTGTAGACAAAAAGCTAAAATAGCGATATACAGTCTTGACAATAACATGTAGCAATCTCTATTAAGTTCTGTTAATACTCGAACTCATATTGGGTTTACATAATCTCATGTTGAATATACATAAACTCATGTTGGTATACTTTAACTCATATGGTTTTACATAATCTCATGTTGAGTATATATAAACTCATGTTTGTATACTTGAACTCATATTGGGTTTACATAATCTCATGTTGAGTGTACATAAACTCATGTTGGTATACTTGAACTCATATTGGGTTTACATAATCTCATGTTGAGTATATATAAACTCATGTTTGTATACTTGAACTCATATTGGGTTTACATAATCTCATGTTGAGTATACATAAACTCATGTTGGTATATATACTTGAACTCATATTGGGTTTACATAGTCTCATGTTGAGTATATATAAACTCATGTTGGTATACTTGAACTCATATTGGGTTTACATAATCTCATGTTGGGTGTACATAAACTCATGTTGGTGTACTATAACTCATATGGGTTTACATGATCTCATGTTGAGTATATATAAACTCATGTTGGTTTACTTGAACTCATATTGGGTTTACATAATCTCATGCATGTTGAGTGTACATAAACTCATGTTGGTATACTTGAACTCATATGGGTTTACATGATCTCATGTTGAGTATATATAAACTCATGTTGGTATACTTGAACTCATATTGGGTTTACATAATCTCATGTTGAGTGTACATAAACTCATGTTGGTATACTTGAACTCATATGGGTTTACATGATCTCATGTTGAGTATATATATAAACTCATGTCGGTATACTTGAACTCATATGGGTTTACATAATCTCATGTTGAGTATACATAAACTCATGTTGGTATACTTGAACTCATATTGGGTTTACATAATCTCATGTTGAGTAAACATGAACTCATGTTGGGTATACAATATCATGTTGCCTATACCCCATGAAATCATTTGGATTTACATGATCTCATGCTGTGTACATGTGTAACCCAAACATCAACTCATATTGGGTTTGCATGATATCATGCTGTTTACGTGTATACCCAAACTCATGCTGGGTAAACATCAACTCATATTTGGTTTACATGATCTCATTCTGTTTACGTGTATACTCAAACTCATGCTGGGTAAACATTTACTCATATTTGGTTTGCATGATCTCATGCTGTTTACGTGTATACCCAAACTCATGCTGGGTAAACATCAACTCATATTTGGTTTACATGATCTCATTCTGTTTACGTGTATACTCAAACTCATGCTGGGTAAACATTTACTCATATTTGGTTTGCATGATCTCATGCTGTTTACGTGTATACCCAAACTCATGCTGGGTAAACATCAACTCATATTTGGTTTACATGATTTCATGCTGTTTACCTGTATACCCAAACTCATGCTGGGTAAACATCAACTCATATTTGGTTTACATGATCTCATGCTGCTTACCTGTATACCCAAACTCATGCTGAGTAAACATCAACTCATATTTGGTTTACATGATCTCATGCTGTTTACGTGTATACCCAAACTCATGCTGGGTAAACATCAACTCATATTTGGTTTACATGATCTCATGCTGTTTACGTGTATGCCCAAACTCAGGCTGGGTAAACATCAACTCATATTTGGTTTACATGATCTCATTCTGTGTATGTGTATACCCAAACTCATGTTGGGTAAACATCAACTCATATTTGGTTTGCATGATCTCATGCTGTGTACTTGTATACCCAAACTCATGCTGGGTAAACATCAACTCATATTTGGTTTACATGATCTCATGCTGTGTACGTGTATACCCAAACTCATGTTGGGTAAACATCAATTCATATTTGGTTAACATGATCTCATGCTGTGTGCGTGTATACCCGAACTCATGCTGGGTAAACATCAACTCATATTTGGGTTGCATGATGCTGTGTACGTGTATACCCAAACTCATGCTGGGTAAACATCAACTCAGATTTGGTTTGCATGATATCATGCTGTGTACGTGTATACCCAAACTCATTTTGGGTAAACATCAACTCATATTTGGTTTGCATGATATCATGCTGTGTACTTGTATACCCAAACTCATGCTGGGTAAACATCAACTCATATTTGGTTTACATGATCTCATGCTGTGTACGTGTATACCAAAACTCATGTTGGGTAAACATCAACTCATATTTGGTTTGCATGATATCATGCTGTGTACGTGTATACCAAAACTCATGCTGGGTAAACATCAACTCATATTTGGTTTACATGATCTCATGCTGTTTACGTGGATACCCAAACTCATGCTGGGTAAACATCAACTCATATTTGGTTTGCATGATCTCATGCTGTGTACTTGTATACCCAAACTCATGCTGGGTAATCATCAACTCATATTTGGTTTACATGATCTCATGCTGTGTATGTGTATACCCAAATTCATGTTGGGTAAACATCAACTCATATTTGGTTTGCATGATATCATGCTGTGTACTTGTATACCAAAACTCATGTTGGGTAAACATCAACTCATATTTGGTTTACATGATCTCATGCTGTTTACGTGTATACCCAAACTCATGCTGGGTAAACATCAACTCAGATTTGGTTTGCATGATATCATGCTGTGTATGTGTATACCCAAACTCATGCTGGGTAAACATCAACTCATATTTGGTTTGCATGATCTCATGCTGTGTACTTGTATACCCAAACTCATGCTGGGTAAACATCAACTCATATTTGGTTTACATGATCTCATGCTGTGTATGTGTATACCCAAACTCATGTTGGGTAAACATCAACTCATATTTGGTTTGCATGATATCATGCTGTGTACGTGTATACCAAAACTCATGTTGGGTAAACATCAACTCATATTTGGTTTGCATGATCTCTGTGTGGGTGTATACCCAAACTCATGTTGGGTAAACATCAACTCATATTTGGTTTGCATGATATCATGCTGTGTACGTGTATACCCAAATTCATGTTTGGTAAACATCAACTGATATTTGGTTTGCATGATATCATGCTGTTTACGTGTATTCCCAAACTCATGTTGGGTAAACATCAAATCATATTTGGTTTACATGATCTCATGCTGTGTACGTGAATACCAAAACTCATGTTGGGTAAACATCAACTCATATTTGGTTTACATGATCTCATGCTGTGTGCGTGTATACCCAAACTCATGCTGGGTAAACATCAACTCATATTTGGTTTGCATGATCTCATGCTGTTTTTTTCAATTAAGTTCGATAAGGACTGAAAATCCGAAAAGATAAAAAACGTGAACCGACCGAACTGAGGAAATTAAGAAACCGTTAGAGCCCTTCTTCAGATATGAACCTATGTAATCACTCACCTTCAGGACGGACATCATTGGTGGATACTTGAGCGCTGGCAACTTGTGAACTTGGAACTGAAGACTTGGAGTCTGCATCCAACCCATTTTCACTCCCACTTTTTGTAATGATGGATCCTCCACTTGGGTTTGCAGAAAACCCAATATTGTCAAAATAGAGAGAAGTCCGTGATGAACCATGGGAAACAAGTTCTTTACTGCTGGCTTGTGATTGACCAAATGTACCCCAGTCTACGTCATGTCTGGTCCAGAATGTAGTTCCAGCAAGCTAAAAGAAAACACCGAGAGTATAAAGTTGAGTCCTCCTTAGCATGACACATACTATACTTCCAATAAAAAAATAATTTCAAGTAAAATGGCACAAACTACATCTTGTCAGCCATTGTGAATTGGTTTTGAGGCTGTTCTGATTTATTGTGACTCAGAAGTCCTTTTTTGGAACTGCCGTAAGTTGTCCTAATAGTCATAAGTCATTGTTCTTCAAAAAGAAGACAATGGTTTTCTTGGAATCGCAAGTTATTGTCATTCCAAATACGAGCCCACGAGTAACAAGTTACATAATCATTGACTCATGTTTCAAAATTGCAGAATGTCGCATTGATTTTCAAAAAATTCTAACTCCAGTTGTAAGTACTTCACGCATGATCAGTCAATGATTCAAGGTAATAATCAGAAAAAATAAAATGCAGTTATTGGAATTGACAATGAAACTTACCTGATCGTCATCAGGTGCGTCTGTAACCAAACTTATCACAATACAAGCAACTGCAGTAATGGCAAACAATATGATCCCAAAATGGAGGTAATGAACTTTTGCTATAATATCAGGTGTTCCATTGTACTCTCCACATGCAGGATTGCCATAGCTGAACTGCCAGATCATGCGAATCAAACCAACAACAAAGCCAATCATCAGACTCCAGAATGCACCCTGAAAAATATTTTTTGAAAGGTTTTATTTTGTTAATTATTTGCTATAGATCAACAAGCATCATAAGAATAAAGATGATACAGTTGGCAAAGTTTATTTTTTCTTCTTTTAAAAGTTTTATTTTATTTTAACTCATATTTGTAATAATATTTTGTTGAGGATCAACATAAGAGGAGGAAAACCCCAGAGTTTAAAGATGACAGACATAATTACATCTCTTGCTTACCACCTTCGTTCGCTCGAATTTTCATCGGCTAGTTATCAAAAACTACCCTTTGATGGGATGTTTTAATTGATATAGGCATATTCCGTACACCTTTCTTTATCTTGATGTGAAATAAGAAGCTATGATATTGGTTAACACGCCAGAAATGAACATAATATTATTCGAAGCGTATTTCGAAAAATTTGAAACCGCCATTGATGACATCATTTGTTTGTCAACTTTTGACCAATCAGAGATGTATGTCATCTCAATACTGGTTTACATTATAAGTGAATGTCATGTTTGAACTCTGGTGTTATTCCCCCTCTGGATCAACATAATGCATTCTTGAAATAAAGAAAAGTATTGCCCTTGAAGGATAATATGCACATCAAGAGAAAAGGTATAGCTAAACTTCAGAATTGTATTATTCTCACTCTAAAATATTTTTTAGAAGAGCCATTTGAAAAGTGTTGTGGTCTTTGTATTACATTTCAACAAATTGATTTGAATGTCATATATTAAAGCCTATCTTGGAAATATATCTGATAAAGGAATGAATGATATGATACCTTTTCATTGATCCTCTTCATGAAGACAGCCAGAACATAAATGGCACATATAGGTGGCGCTAGGTAGGATGTGACACTCTGGATGTAGTGAAACAATTCACCAAAGTTTTCCACTATTGGAATCCAAGCAACTGCTATACCAACCATGAGAACTACAAAGATTCTGGAATGGATTGAATTAATTCAAACTTGAGAAGATGAGAGCCCTGCATTAGAAGAGACAGTTACATACTGCATATACATGTATTAGTTAATGAATTATTATTATCTATGTGCAAAAATCAAAAAATTCTGTCATTTAGTTTTGCAGATAATAATAATATTCTCACAATTCCTTAAAAGTCCTACATCTACATGGGAGATCTAAATGTATATAGCTTTTGGTAAACAAAGTCTGTGACACCCAACTTAATTCGATGCCAACTATGTCTACTTCTGGGATTATTGTTACTAACCTGCCTACTATGACTTGTTCAACTTCTGTTGCTTGGTTCCGAATTCTCTTCCAGATGTCAATGGTGAACATTGTAGCACTGGAATTGAACACTGATGTGAGGGAAGACATTAATGAAGACAACATCACAGCCAGCATCATACCCCTGGCCCCTCGAGGCATCAGACGGAGGACTAGCAAGGGATATGCTGCATTTGTACACCCTGTACTGCTGCCACATACCGCCTTGCACGACACTGGGTTATCACAGGCAATTTCATCTACATAAATAAAAGATCATATGCTGTAAAACATGTTCATTTGTATTCTTTCTTTCAAAAAACTCACAGTAGAGTATATCCGAATAATAATAAACAAACAGTAAATAAATTAATACTAATTATGTCATATTTACTGTAGCTATATTTATTGTGTTGAGAATCTAATCAAACAAGACTAATAAGATGGACAAAACTCCCAAAAAATGAATTCTGACACAAAGATTCTATATTGAAAAAGAACTGTATGCATGAATCTAATTATTGATTTGAAGCTCCAGATTTATTGCTTTGTGCACAGTTCGTAAACCTATAATTACCTGCAAAAAGTATCCTGGCAATCATTCCTGGGAAGACCATTATAAAAAGAGGTAGAAATTTCAAGTATCCCGCAAGCACGCAGCCTAGTTTCACATATGACAGGTTCTTAGCTGCTAAAGACCTTTGAACAATCACCTTTGTAAGGTAGAAGAATACATGATAGCTCTGTGGCATATAAAAATCAGAACAAGAACATATTTGAACCTCTTAGCAACTAATAAAGATTGGACAATCACCTCAATAATATACTGTATGTTGTCAGAAATTCCTTTTACTTCAATATACAAGCCACAGATTGGTAAATTTAAGATATAAGATAGCATGAGACATAATATGATTCTTCAAATGTCAGTGGGGATGGTTCACATTGTTCAGAAGATACTTTCTGCAGCTCTTAAAACTGACACAGTTATTCTTGTCACTCGCAAGATATTTCATGAAGCTCTTAAAATTGGCACAGTTATTTTTGTCACTCACAAGATATTTCATGAAGCTCTTAAAATTGACATAGTAATTCATGTTTTCAAAATGACCTGAACTTGTAACTACTCACTTGATCAGTGCACCAGTACCAGGTAGCAGATATGGTTAAGCCAAAGAAGATACCTGGCCATGGAAGATTACTGTCACTGGCATCTCGTACAAGATGCATGGCATTAGAGGGGGGCGTCCCACAGGTAGCATAAGTGTAGTTTAGGTGCAGCTTCCTAGCTGTTATTGTAGTATTGGGCTCTGCTTTGAAATAGTAGCGTATAATGTTTTCATAACCACCCACACAAACAAAGGCTGAAAATAAGAACATTTGGTGTAAGAGTACATGTAATTATAATACACATGCATGCTTTGTGCAAACTGCTTTCAAAGCCTGCATGTAACTTACATTTTTAAAGCAATAATTCAATGGAAAATGTATAAATTAACATAAGTTTCATTGGCAGCATGGCAAGATGTTTTGAGGCTGTTAATGTTTTTCAAACATTTTTTGTCTCTAGTTTTTTCCTCTTGTCAGGAACTCAAATAAAAAACAACTAGACATCATGCAACTTGTAAGATAAGGAAGCACATTGACAAGATCACAACTTATGCCTGAGTCACATTTGCTCTGATTCATTGGCAAGGCGCCAGGCGGTTGAGTTTTTTTGTTCAAAATTGTATTCAGTTTTGAACAAAATACTTAATCAACTGGACACCAGTCAATGAATCGGAGCAAATGTAACTAAGGCTGCGTTTTTGAACGAAGGCTAGTGCATTGCATGATATATAACAACAAGATGATACCTATTACCATTTATTCCCATTGTATACAGATAAATAAACACCTTGACAATAAGACCAAACATTACCCTTCATCAACATTAAACCTTACCATTTATTCCCATTGTTTACAGATAAATTAAAACACCTGACAATAAGACCAAACATTACCCTTCATCAACATTAAACCTTACCATTTATTCCCATTGTTTACAGATAAATTAAAACACCTTGAAAATAAGACCAAACATTACCCTTCATCAACATTAAACCTTACCATTTATTCCCATTGTTTACAGATAAACACCTTGACAATAAGACCAAACATTACCCTTCATCAACATTAAACCTTACCATTTATTCCCATTGTTTACAGATAAATTAAAACACCTTGACAATAAGACCAAACATTACCCTTCATCAACATTAAACCTTACCATTTATTCCCATTGTTTACAGATAAACACCTTGACAATAAGACCAAACATTACCCTTCATCAACATTAAACCTTACCCTTTAAAAACAATAAGCACTTTGACGACAAGACTTAAATGAAGATTATAAATTGCGTACCTTGTACCATGAGAACTAAGGCCCCAATAATCATGATAATAGTCTGGGCAAAGTCAGTCCATATCACAGCTGTTAAACCCCCTGGAAAATAGAAACACTGTTGTTGAACTACACGGAAAATAGAAACATAGCTGTTAAACCACCTGGAAAATAGAAACACTGCTGTTAAACCACCTGGAAAATAGAAACACAGCTGTTAAACCACCTGGAAAATAGAAACACAGCTGTTAAACCACCTGGAAAATAGAAACACTGCTGTTAAACCACCTGGAAAATAGAAACACAGCTGTTAAACCACCTGGAAAATAGAAACACCGCTGTTAAACCACCTGGAAAATAGAAACACAGGCTGGGATTCAGATGCCATAGACAGTCTGGGATTCAGATGCCATAGACAGTCTGAGATTCAGATGCCACAGACAGTCTGGGATTCAGATTCCATAGACAGGCTGGGATTCAGATGCCATAGACAGTCTGGGATTCAGATGCCATAGACAGTCTGGGATTCAGATGCCACAGACAGTCTGGGATTCAGATACTACAGTGCGTATAAAAAAAACGCAACAGATTGTTATCTTGGAAAAGCACAAAACCAGTGATAACAGCATTGATTTCATTCAATGCACCATAAAGCCATGTGTCTCCTCTTTACAATGATATATCATTCATTGATATTTGGTCATGGTTGGGTGAGTAATCATTCCATTTGCAAAGTGGGCCAAAATTAGCTTCGGGCCAAGTTATAAACATTGCAAAAGTCAGTGTACGGAGCCTGATGCAATATTACACGAAAACATAAAACCAATGCTGACTGCATCCTTTTAATTCAATGTACCAAAAACCAAATTACTCCTCTTTGTAATGGAATATCATTCATTCACAGGGAGTCATCTCTGGCCGAATGATCATTAATTTTGCAAAGTGGGGCAAATTTCAGCTCGGACCCCAAGTTTAAAACATTGCAAAAGTCAGTACAAGGGGCATAGGGGCTATTGGAAGAAGGTGTGACAGGTATGGCATAGACAGTAAGTTGTTCATACTCATACTCTTGCAAGAAAACATCTATACCCCTCCAAATTGCCACCACTTCCTTGCACATAAAGATGCGCTCATCTGTCCACGTCATGCATGGTTCAGCCCTGAATCATGTGTGGGTTAAAGCAAAGAAAAGCAGCCCATGGGCAAATCTTTCTCGAGGTTTTGCAATATCTGGTGGAGGAATTGTGAGCACAGATGCTCCTGAGAAAGCTCCAAAAGAAAAAGTCACAACAATTCAAGTCAGGGGAACTTCCATTAGCACTTAGCCCTTGCACTGATTTTTTCAATATCTAAAACTTGGTGCAGAGCCGATTTTGACCCACTGTGCAAATGGAAGGATTTCTCACCCAACCATTACCACATGTGAATGAATGACATATCATTGCAAAGAGGAGAGACATGGCTTTATGGTACATTAAATGAAATTGATGTAGTCATCACTAGTTTTGTGATTTTACGAGATAACTACTTGTTGCGTTTTTTTTGATACGCCCTGTATTGAGAGGCTGAGATTCAGATGCCATAGACAGGCTGGGACTCAGATTTCATAGTCAGGCTTGGATTCAGATGCCATTTATTAAGTTATTTAAGTATAATGAAAGTGCCTATAAATAAATAGCTTAGGGGCTTAGTCAACACTTCGATCAATGTATGTGAAAAAATGTAATTAATTTAGTTAGGTCTTAACCCCCTCCTCTCTTCTATTAATGAGTCAAAATGTTGATTTGCGTGCAGACTACAAGTGCAACCCCACAGCATACATTGTGACTATGTTACTGCTATAAACAAAACATTATGAATTCCTCTCTTATACATCATATCTGTTGAGTACATTTATTGATCATGCCATGCCTGTCAAACCAGGAATTGCAGAAGACAAATCCTTGGAAACTTAAAAGTCAATGTCTGTCACCTAATTAAACACCACTTTCACCCTCTCCCTGCCTAACGTAATTAATTACATTTTTGAGACATTGAAATATTTATGCAGTAAGTGTCAAACTAATTCAGTATGTAAAATTATAAATTAGAAAATGTCACCTAAAGTATGATTGTTAAAAAAAATAAGTCAAGTGTTTTTCTATGCTTATTTTTTTGATAAAAGGTAAAAAATGTATCTCAATGTTGTCAATCAAAAGTTCTATTCCCACCTTATACGTGCTATACATGTATGTAAGATACGAGTATTTTCAACATAACCTTTCTTTTCAAATACACTTTTTGAGTGTCTTTGGACTTAAAAATGTCAAAATTGCCCCCTGTTCATTAAAGTTCTAATAATAATTATCAACTAATAATTTGAAAGTAGCAGACTTCAGTAATATTACATAATCCTTATTCCAGACATTTTCACCTTTTTAATGTTAATGGTATATATACATGTCTGTAGATCCTGTGAGAAATGGTGTCCTTCTTTTGACCCTAGTTTGCTGAACTATGGAACTCAATATGGGATCTAATTGTTTTCTACCATGCAGAGAAAATTATTTATAAAAAATATAATTATTAAAAAAATATTTTGTGATATTTTTTCTTTATGTTATCATAACATTATAATATTAAATTTCACACTTGATTGTTAAGTAATTGTTAGACCTCCACTTGTGCAAGGCCTCTCAGTGAGACATGATAGGAGCTAAGGAGCCACAATATTGTTTTTTAAACAGGAAATTTTACATAACCCTTTATAAGTAATTGTCAAGGCCTCTCTGAGTGAGAGGTAATCATATTTTACCTTAAATGTCATCCACATTACATAATACTGATATGTGTGCCAGAATGCAAGTCTTGGGAGTGGGATAGACATTTCTGTGTATTCCATACCTACTGAGGTTTTTGGTACATAACAAGTGGGATCATATAGTGTATCTAGGGAACTATCGCCAAGGTGGATACACGCTGTATCCATCCCAGTCCCACTCCTGCCAAAAGCGAACTCAATATCCGTTATTTACAAAATAAATATTATATTTCAAACTTATGCTGTATATTTAAATTTTGAAATCAGTAATATTTGAGTGTTAAAATCTCACATTGATAACACACTTCTCCCTGTAGATAACAGTTCTTACCTGAGATTGTAAATAGAGCTGCAATCACCAGCAAAACAATCACTGTTATATACATCTGCCAAGGCTCATTCAGATCAAGTGCTAGTCGAATGAAAAATGCCCCGGCATACAAGTCAGCCTGGAATGTGAAATTGCAAATATATTTTCATATGTAGATATTCAAAGGTCAGAAAGTCTGGTTGCCTTTGAGTAAGTCCCTCATTTATAAATTAATCGGGGGGTCATTAACAGAACTTTCGCAAAGTTACGAATTCGCAAGTCAATTGTTAATTTTACGAATTTGGTAAATGTGCATTAACAGAACTTTCGTAAAGTTACGAACGATTCGCAAAGTTACGAAAAAATGACGTCACATATGCTTTCGTTCGTAACTTTAATAGCACCTCAGACCCTTTCATAACTTTGCGAATGGCATATTTCTCATCCAGTTCTTTTGTAAGGTATACAGGTTGGCAAAAAGAAATTGTTCTTTATATGCATGCTAAGTTTCAAGCTAAAATATCCACCTATTCTTACATGATAAGCAAATATGTTCCTGAGCTGGGAATCTTTGACATCGCGGAGACAGGTTTAATCACAACACGCAATGATATCAAATGACATCATATTTTTATTTGTGCTAAATAATGATATAAGATGACGTCACAATTTGAAATTCGTTTACGAACGATAAAACTTATGAATGACTTACGAAAGTGTTCTGTTAATGGCCGATTCGTAACCTTACGAATTCGTAAGTCATTCGTAACTTTTTAAATATTTACGAATTTCATAAAGTTACGAATTACGAATTCGTAAGTTTGCGAAAGTTCTGTTAATGACCCCCTGATTACCTGAAAACTCAGGGTAAGCTGAATTTAATGTGCTGTACTAAAAGACTGCGTATTTCCTTAAATCAACACAAAATATGAAAGAAGCTTCAAAAATTGCAAATTAATATTTGTTTCAAGCAGTTGAAGACTGGCAAAAGTAAACTTTGCGGTTTTGAAAAATAAATTCTTTTAATTTATAAATAATTTTGATGGATTTAATGAATTTCTGGGGTTTGATAACGAAGCATATTTATGTCATGGTCATTTAATATAAAAATATTTAGTAACATTATACTGAGGCCTCCGAGTATACAACCACATACAACATATTATTGCACAAAGCAAAAGGTCCATGTGCAGTATGGCAAGTGATTTTAGACAGTCATATCTTTCACCATGAGTACTTTCTGGCCTTAAATACAATGGTTTTTACTAAAACAATATGTTTTCTTTCAAGTGAAGTCCCCATGATAGTAAAATATCAATCCAACTCTCTGAAAAATTATGGATTAGGGTCCCACCTTGGCACTTTTTAAAAATTGTAAGGCTTATTTTCTAAAAAGAGGATCTTGTTTTTCTCAATTTAAACATATCGAAAGTTTCTTCTACACTATATTAACAATTTCTGAAAGGGGATGCGTATTGAAATGCGTTAAAGTTAAAAACCACATATCCAATGTTATTTTCCCATAGGGAAAAACTCGTGCTATACATTGTTTTCAGCATCATTTTGGTCATCGGAAATTGATATCTTCAAAACTAGACTTTCAATACCATTATATTTTTGAAGATGTTTTAGACCCCTTGTTGAATAATCTTTTCATGCAATAAACATCAGAAAAAGGAGATCCTCTTTTGAGTAAATATGTTCATAATTTTTCGAATTGTTCGATTGATATTTTTATCATCATAGGTACTTCACTTGAAAGAAAACATATTGTTTTAATAAAAACCACTGTATTTATGCCCAGAAAGTACTCATGGTGAAGGATATGACCGTCTAAAATCACTTGCCATACTGCACATGGTCTTTTACCCCCCTATCACACCAAACTAGTTCTTACCCGTTCTTGCCAGTCCTACGAAAACATCGTAAAACGGGCTCAATCTGGCTGTGGTCGGGAAATATGTCTAAAATAATTAGCTACTTCATTCATAAACAGTCTTCAATACGTCCATCTCATTCGCAGTTTGTTCAGGTCGCACCACGTCGGTGTGCAAAGTCGTATAACGCGTTCCTTAGTCTAGAAGGTATTCATGACCTGATTACAGAACGGTATGGTCGCCATCGAATTTGAATCGATTCAAAATTCTAAATCACATTCCCCGTCCGGGAAAGTCCATGAAGTTCGTAAACAGACCGTAGAACGTTTTAGCTACGTTCATTCGGTTCGCACACAGTTTTAAACCAGTTTTGACAACCAAGAGAACATTATGAGCATGTTAGTTCTAGAGGACCTACCCATTCGAGTACGTTCGATGAGGTTTGTAAATAGACCCCAAATGGTTCTAAGTACGTCCAGTCCATTTGTACACAGTTGAAGCCCGTTTCCGAGAACGTAGTGAGAACTAGTTTGGTGTGATAGTAGGCTTACAAAAAATGACAAATACTGCAGAACAGACATGTTCAAGTTACCAATGAATTTTTCTTACAAGAGAATAATGATAAGATGGCCTCCTTCTGAGCCCATTCACAGGAAGAACACTGAAATACACAACAACTTCAAAGATGTAACAATCAAGTGAAGTCAAGTGAAATTACACATATTATAAATACTTACAGCAACCTTAGTGAAGACATTCAGGATGAGTCCAAGCACAGAGAGGTAAACTCGGATACGCTGGCCACCAAATCTTTTGTGAATATACTCTGGAAGTGTGTAAATCTACAAAGAAGGTCAGCTCATTAATTTGAGTTATCATATCATATGTACAGATAACCATGAAGATTTTCATATTTTCCACAAAGATTACAATTAAACCCACATGTGATATTTTATCCCAAATGTACAAATGCTTTCTAGACATTTCACCCCTTGGACAAATGTTTCAGCCCTAGACTACACCCCTTAGGCATTATTTCAAGTAAAATTTACTTGTCATGTACATACATTGTTTAGGCACCATGCAAAATATGTTTTGATTATTCATTTACCATTGTTCATGACTTTGAATGTTACTTTAGAGATATTTGAACTTACCCCACATGCAATATAAACTGGTACAAACACCCATCCAAGGAGCAATAAGATCCAGACTGCCTGGAACAACAAAATACGAACATATCTGTACTGCTAATAGGGTCATAAATTCAGAATACAGCCGGTTCAACAATATAATGGTGAGCTGCTGCCACACTGTTCATATTTTAATACCTAGATTTAATTGACAGGCACAGATTAAAGAAAAAAAATCGGCAATATGGCTGCTCCAATCACGTCTCACTGAGATGCCTGGCAAATGTGGAGGTCTAACAATTACTAACCAAGTGTGAAATTTAATATCAAAATTTACCTAGATATTAAGATTGCACACTATTTTAAGGAGCCCTCCCCAAAGGCATTTTTGATGGTCAATCGAAGTCAAATCTAAGGTAAGATATGAACTCAAGACGACCTGTAGATGATGTTTGAAAAAGATTGGTTAGATTTTAAGTTCAAAGCAGTATTCTAAAACATTTCTAAGCTTTGTGTGATAATGCAATGATTTACTTACATTGAGTTCAAAGGCTGCTATCCCTATTCCACTTGCAGCCCCTGTTCCAGCTAGTCCTATGAAATGTCCACTACCAATGTTACTCGCAAACAATGAGGCTCCAACCTAGAATCAGTAATACATGATCATATGCTATGATAATAATACTAGTCAGGGGTGTAGCCAGCTTTCAGTCAGGGGGGTGCAATCGCCAAAATATTTCAGTTTTCATCCGGGGAGGGGGTTGCGATTGCGACATAAATAAGCCAAAAAATAAGTTTTATTTTGACTTCTACAAAAATTGATGCAACTTCCTTCAATATTGAGCTAGAAGCTTCAAATAAAAAGCATTTTAAACCTCTTCTTCTCCTTTCTCATGGTTTTATTTTTATTGGTAAGGAGGGGGTGCACCCATTGCACTACCCCTGGCTACGCCTATGCTAGTAATAATAGTAGTTTCATCATTTTTTAGGATTGGCTTTTGCAACATAATCAAAGGAATCATTGTTTCCAACTCTATATACTCTACTGTTATTATTATTAACACTGACAAAATAATTTATCCTTCATCTAATTAATTTGCTTAGTAAGAGGGTCATGAAAAATATAGAAGGAGTATTTAATGTTTAATAATCCTAAGTTTTGAAATCAAACAAATCATTGTGTGAGGCCCTAATGTTAAACAAGGCATGAACATGACAAAATGTCACCACCTAGTTGAAGCAAGATAAAAAGACCCTTTGACCTTGAGGAGGTCATTAAAGGTCAAATCTATTTTGACCTTGAGAATGTCATTTAAGGATCAAATCTATAGTCAGATTTGAAATATTGAAAACTTGTAGATAATTTTGAAAAAAAATTGCACAATTTGCAGCAAGTTGAACAAATACCTTTTTGACCTTTTTGGAACTTAAGCATGTCAGTGAAGGTCAAATCTCAAATCAGATTTGAATGTCCGGTAACTTATAGATGATTTTGAAAAAAATTGGTTAATTAGAAGCAAGTTGTAAAAAGACCTTTTTGACCTTGAAAAGGTCATTGAAGGTCAAATCTTAATTAAAAGTCAGATTTGAACTTCTGAAAACATGCAGATGATTTTGAAGACAATTGAAGTCAGTCTATACAGTATTTATTAAATCATTGGAACTTGTAAGAATTTGTTACAGACGTCGACCAACGATTGCCAACCGCCAACCACCAACGCAACGGCCCATTGGCGTAAAAAAAGGGAGACCATAACAATGTCACCACTTTTTGGTGGTGACATAATAATCATAATTCTCAATATGTATAATTAACACTGACAAAATAATTTATCCTTCATCTAATTAATTTGCTTAGTAAGAGGGTCATGAAAAATATAATTCCATGAGATTCACTTATATTATAATTTGCACAATTTGTATTCATTAACAAGACTAGACCGATGCTCAGGAACATTTAACGATTGAATAATGTAGAACTTACATTCTGTACTATAAATCTCAACTCAAATTTGACTTACCAAGATCCAATGCATGGACTTTCCTGCTAGAAAATGGCCCTTTATTCCACCAGGGTTTTTAAAGGATGACTAAAATCAAATCAAATCAATACATTTGAATGAGAATTTTCTCCTAGATTCATGACAAATTATATTTATTATCTGCTCATATAGAAATGGCACATTGTTAAGCAACATATTATGAAGTTTAATCTTCATACAAAAATTCATTGTAGCTCTTCACCTTAATGAAATTAAAAAGTAAGACAAACGTGAAAAAAACCTACTGCAATTCCAACAATTATGACAATGACAAAGTAGACAGCAATAACAACGATATCTCCCCAATGTAACTGCTTGTCCGTCTGCAGCTCACACTTCAAACCCTCAAACGCCATCTTTCAATTCTGAAAACATACAAGAACATCAAAATTGAATGCAGTTATACATGGATAGCTGCATGAATAAGTAATTTTACCAACTAACATCAAGTGGACATATAACTATTTTTACATTTTAATACTGTTAATTAACAAGATCATATAGCTCTGATATAAAGTTGGTGTTGTTTTTAACTGTAATTTCAAAGTATTACCATTTAGTTTTAATGATAAATGTAAAATAAATAAAATAAAAAAGTGGATATGAGTTAATAAGAATAGCACTTTTAATTTGTGCAGCCACTGTTGTCAGAATGATGGACAGACATACAGACAGCCTTAGGCTCATTGTGTGAGCCACAAAATCATGCAGGGATTCGAGCCATGAGATTTGCCCCATTTGTTCACCATTGTATATTCTTTCATTTTAGGTCAAAATTGTACAGTTGACCCATGAACAACCCATGATATGTTATTAACCTTTCATTTTCATCTGGAGTATTTCCAGATAAACTTAAATTCGCAAAAGTAATTCCAATCCACAAAAAAGACAGAACAGATGTATTTAACCATTATAGACCTATCTCTCTCTTATCAGTCTTTTCAAAAATCTTTGAGAAATGTATATATATTCGAACTTTTGATTTCCTTGAAAAACAAAATGTATTTTATGCCCACCAATACGGATTTAAGAAAAATCACTCAACTTTCATGGCACTTTTAAAATTTGTTGAAACCATACGACTTGCTATTGATAAAAAGAAACTTTGTTTAGGAATTATGTGTGACCTTTCAAAAGCGTTTGATACTTTAAACCATACTATTCTTTTGAAAAAACTAGATCACTATGGCATAAGAGGTACTGCTCTCAAATGGTTCCAAAGTTATCTGTCAGATCGATCTCAAATTGTAGAAATTGATGATACAACCTCAGATATAGCCAATTTTACCTGTGGAGTGCCTCAAGGCACAATACTGGGCCCATTACTTTTTATTATTTACATTAACGATATCTACAAATGTTCAGAGAAAGCAGAAATGTTCCTTTACGCAGATGACACAAATATTCTCTTTTCTGGTGATAATCTTGATGAAATCAATTCTACTGCAAATAAAGAGCTATCTATTATAAATGAATGGTTTAAATGCAACAAACTCGCTCTCAATCCAAACAAAACCAACTTCATTATTTTCAAAACTGCTCAAAAAGAAATAGATTACAGCAAAGTCAATCTCACAATGAATAACATCCCACTTGAAAGAAAATCAGTTTGTAATTTCCTCGGAACACTTATTGATGAACATTTATCATGGAAAGCCCACATTAACTATGTTGAAACGAAGATCTCAAAGACTTTGGGAGTTATTCACAGAGTCAAACACCTTTTAGACAAAAAGAGTTTAAAACATATTTATTATTCCTTAATTTATTCATATTTAAACTATAACCTTATTGTATGGGGGAACGTTCCCCCATCTTCTTTAAATAAAATTCACTGTTTGCAAAAACAATTTATAAGAATATATGATACAAATTGTAAATTAAGAGATCACACAGCACCATTCTTCAAAAATGCTAACATTCTTAATATATTTCAAATTTTTAAAGTCAGTATCCTGACATATCTTTTCAAATGTATCAAAGGCACTGACCCAACATCCAAAAACCAATTCAGTTATTACTTCACTCCAAACAATATTATTCATAGACATGAGACTAGACAACAATTCAAACTCAGATCAGCAACTTTTAGAACAAACATTGGCAAATATTCCATCAGTAAGCAGGGACCAGATTTATGGAATATATTACCTGATGAAGTTACTAAGTGCAACTCTATACCTCTTTTCAAGAAAAAGATCAAGTCATTTTTGATCAATCAATGATAACAATCTCCAATTAGCTATTCACTTATGCTGTCTACCTAGTAGCTATTGTTATCGTTCTTTCTTTTTCTGCTCATTGTTTTTATTCCATCATCTTATTGGCAAAGCCAACATATATCATCGCCTATCATTTTTCAAAGCACTTAACCTTATTCGAATATACTGCTCAGAGACTGTAACTGGCAACCCAGTTTACTTTCCATATTGTTAAGACCATGCTGACGGGTGGGGGGTGGGGGTGGGGAGTGCGAGGCTGGAGATACATAATTTACACAACACTGCTTGTCATGTTCATCTTCTCTGTGCGGATAATATGCCCATTAGGGTGTCATCCGCCTTATCTGTATGTTTCACCAGATGTTTGAAAATAAATAAATGAAATGAAATGAAATGATTGCATTTTAAAGTGATGTGTAGATTTAATACATTGTGCTGCCATCTTTAAATAAAAATGTCAATCTATGAAATTTAAATTTCACCAGGAATGACCTTTTCAAAACATTCCAGGATATTTTTTGACCTGGCACGTATTTAATATAAGATCACAAATAAAGGACATTTATCAAATGCTGTCAACCCAGGGCACTAAGACATGTTTACAGAGATTTTTGTTATGATATTCATTATAGTGATTCACTTTTCAATAATGCAGTAGGCTACTAATATTTGGAGAGACTCTTATTGTTTGTCCTGAAAGTATATTTTGTGTTGTGAGTCAACATACCTTTTTAAGTTTGTTTGTGTTTACCTGAAGGCTTCATATGAATGTCATGAGAAGAATGAGTGTTCTACAAGGCTATACATGTACAAGAGAGAGGCATGAATAAGTGACATTTTTCAACTGAAAAATCAAGGTTGCTCTGTTTTAACCTGCCTTAAAGGGGACCACCACCATGGTCACATGATCAGTCGTGTGGAGGTAAGCTCCCAGTTGAAATAAAAGCACTGTCCTCCTTTGGTTTATGTGAAAAGTAGCTAATACCCTCATGTATTGGTCAGTTTGTGTGTCACACGACTTATCCACAACATATGCTTCATTCAACATATTTTATGCTATTAAGCTGCATATAAAAACACTACTTTGCAGTAAAAACGAACTACTGGATGAACTGAGGTTAGGGTATTTAAATTAGTTGTTTCTCATTCTTGCCCGCGTGTGGCCCAATCCCCCCTCCACCTTTTTTCTGCCATTTCTGAGAAAAAACACCGTACCTCGCGCGCATCCATGGCGTGTGAAACACTTTTTTTACTTTTTATGGATCAGGATAATTGACAATATCGTGGTACTGATATATGATCAAATATACCAGTAAAGTAGGCTAAATTTAACATATAAATTCAACATAAACCCAGTTTATTTCCTTCAAAATTAGTAATTTGTTTTTACAGTTATTTTAAAGAAAAAAATCATCCCGTCCCTCATCAGCATTTTAGATAGACAAAAAAAGGTAATATAAAAACCGTCATTCCCGTATCAATTTTGAAAAATAGAAGAAAGAGAAACAACTAATTTAATTACCCTGGCCTAACATAAAATACAAAGCCACTAGCCAGCTCATACAGTATACTTACCCCTTGCAAATTGTAATTTATTGAATTCACAGTAAACCCATCAATTTAAAAAAAAAGAATATTGTTCTCATGGATCTATTATTCATGTTAAACTAACTATGAAAATATAAATATGAAATAATATGTTAGCTTGAAGTCATATATAAGATGAAAATATATGTCCATGCATTTGCATTTTTCCAAAGGGAACAATTATTCCCATGTAAGTAAATACAGGTGCAATATATAATTTATATGTATATCTATGTCATCTGTCTATACATGCGCGTATTGTGATACATTTGAACAAGATGATGGTTCTGGAAAGAAATGAGCGTGGCAGATTTGCTAAAAAGCCACATACACCACAAAAGCAAGACCAATTTGAAAGTAAGTTCATTATATTCAAGGGTACACTTCAAGTGAAAGCTACATTGCTACAGGGTGGCCTATCATTCTGAGACAAATGTATTATCAAACGATTGTGATTTTCGAAGCTAAAATATAATATCTTGAGCAGATGGAAATACATTCCCATGAGATATGTATATATCGTCAAAAGTGATAACTATTTATTGAGTGTAATGAAACGTATCCTTCCCCAGCCTATTGCCAGGTATAGTCAGTCTATACCAAAAGTATACTAAAAGTATACCTTGTTGATAGGTCTATACTGATACCAGACTGATACCATACCAATTAATAGGTATATATACTGAATATAGATCTGTAAATAGGTATGAAGATACTGAATATACTGAAAGTATACCTGTTTTACTTATGATTTTCAATAGTATACTGAAAGCATACCAAACAAACTCTGATAAATACTGAATATACTGAAAGCATACCAGTTTTACTAATGATTTTCAATAGTATACTGAAAGCATACCAAATAAACTCTGATAAATAATGATTAGACTGAACGTATACCAGTTTTACTTTATCATTTTATAATATAAACGGCAAATGCAAAATTCATGATAAAACTATAAGTTAACAATTATTCATATGTAAGTTCTATTTTATGACCATTTGTTTCCACAACCTGTCCTACCAGACTAGGTGACAGGGGAGCATTCCTGCTCATAATTACATTGAATGTTTAATACATTGAAAACACAAAAAATGAGAGAAAGATATGATAGATACAGTCATAGTAAAATTTAAAAAAGAAATACAGTTAAAATTTGAAAATTAAAACTTTGCATCAAAAATACATCATGAATAAAACTTGAATATAGTTAATATAAGAATATTGATTTATTTGTGGTATCTCTTTTAGAAGTCTTCGTAATCCTGCTTCTAATTAATTAGTTAATGTAATGCTAGAAAATAAGACTGCTATCCAAATTACATGTACTAATTTTTCTCATCTGCAGAATGATTTAAAATTTAAGGTATCTCATTGGTGAGTCATATTCATCCATATCAGTCTACAGACTAACATATTAAGACTGTCAGTATAGACTAAATGTTGACCTATAGGTATATACTGATACCATACTGAAAGTATACATATACGTATATACTGAACGTATACCCATTGGTATATACTGAAATTATACTGAAACCATACTGGTATGTATATACTGAAAGTATACTGAATGTATACCCATTGGTTTATACTGAAAGTATACTGAAACCATACTGGTAGGTCTAATTACCATAATTGAAACATACCTGTCAATGGAATCATAACATGGGACATATACTGAAAGTATACTGAAACTAGACTAAAAGTTGACCTGTCAGTATAGACTGAAAGTATACCTGTCAGTATATACTGACCATACCTGGCAATGGGCTGGGTCGCCAACTGCTTTTGTTTGAGATAATTATCATGAAATATTTTTAAATTTATTTTTATGTGTGTCATTGATCCTAATCCACCCTGTAGTCTGGTGTTTGTAGAGCATTGCACCTCGTACAACTTGTTCTCACAAATATCAAACCTCATTTACTAATTAATTTTTTGTGTGAATATGAAGATTCCATGCATTGCTTTTTTATGTTTACTGTATAGCTATATTTAGCCTCGATAACCATGATTTTTTAAAACAAAATCTCACCGTTAGATTTTGAGCTATTCATGTTTACTCATTTTTCTAATTGGAAAACAATGCAAATCTCATTTTTTCAAAGGAAAAAAATTGAAATTCTAAGACAGTGAAAAATCATTAAAAAATACACAGATTCAGAATCCGGCAAGCATTTTCCCTTTTTCCTCTCCGTTAAGTAGTTTTGTAAGGTGTTGGATCCCTTTAAGAGCAGCTGTCTCCAAGAAGCTTTAAAAGCCCTTCAATCCATTGACAAAGATAAATCTTTCTCAGGGTTAAATGCCTTATCTTTAAATAATTTAACTTTTTTTACTTAGATTTATCTTACTAGAATCATGGTTAATACAAGATATCCAAATTTAATTTAAAGATTAATAAAGGTCTATTCTTCAATAGAGAGTCAGTAAATATATATTTTCTTTTAAAAGTTTCGTTCTCTATCTCCATGATTCTTATATTTATGATTCAAATATAACAGAGGGATTGATTGGTAAATGATAATAATGATGATACTATTCAGGGGCGGATCTGGGAATCAACAAGGGGGGGGCCCAAATTTCAAGTCAGGAAAAAAAACATCCGCGCTTGCGCAAAAAAAATTTTTGGGCCCCTAAAACCAAAAAGTGGGCCCAAATTTTGAAATTTTGAGGCCCATTTTCTTCAAAATTTGGCCTGAAATTAACAAATAAGGCATTAAAAGGCCCAGTAATGACCAAAAAGGCCCACTTTTTTGGGCCTGAAGGCCTTTTTTGGCCCAACATTTTTTTGGGCCCAATTTTTTTTTCTGGGCCCACCCAAGGGGGGGGGGCCGGGCCCCCAGGCCCCCCCCCTAATCCGCCAGTGCTATTCAACACTTAATATATACACCACTGCAATTTTATTCAAAGTACCTCTTGGTAACAAACAACTAGGTTTTATATGGCATCATACAGATGTCAAGATATATTCAATTTTTAACCCGACTCAACCAGTTTAACATTGTAATCATAATATAATGTTGTGTAAATAACATCAATAAGTTTTTTTTACTTGATTTAGACATTTCAAATCTCTAATAACTTATATTTGATATCAGATATCTCAATTTATTTTCAAATAAATAAAAATTATAGTTTTCAAGTCCTTGCTGCCACAAGAAATGTTTTCATCAACTTGAATCCATTTTATTTCTTCAAGAACTACAACCCATATATGTTAGTTATGCCTTCACTTACCCTTGACCAACCAGTACAGTTGTAACAAGATGATTTAATAATTCCTTAATAATAACTCCTTAGTATTCATGAATGCTCATCCAGATGAAATTGAAGAATCACATCCAAGTGTTGATCAGAATGTATCTGTGCCAGGATATGAGTGACTGACCTTTTCTAACTTAGAGGTGTTATCAAAATTGTTGATCATGCACTAAGAGCCACAGGTCTAACCATGATCTGAGTTATATGGGATGTTTAGCTATTTTTGCTTTTCTCTAGGCCTATGTTCTTTTCTTACATCCCTCTCTACATCTTGGTACTATTCTAGTATCTTGGTAAACAATATTCGTCAAATTGTCTTCATAAATATATTGACATTTAAATGATGAATTGATAAACATGTAACTTTTACACAGTCAATTGTTATACATGCGGGGACCATGTCAAATTAACCCTCCCTGGTCCCATTTTTTATTCTTAAAATAGAAAAGCATAAAAAATACAGGGTAACAAAATCAATAGGGAGTTTAAGCTAGCATATATAATTGAAACACCAACCTATACATGTGAGCAATCGCCCATACAAATGCATCATTTTCCGTTCACATTTAGGTTGTGAAAAACATTGCAAGCTTAAACTCCCTAATGTCACCCACATAATGTTGCATAACTTTTCTGTCTGCAAGAATTCTGACTTGTGTTTTAGCACATTAAAATGGGCACTCAAATGCCGACTTTGCATGGGTGATCCAGGTATGACTGCTAAGGAAGGAACAACATTTGGGGCCCAGAAAAGTACACTTAGTTCAGCTAGTCATCAGAGACAACTTGTGGAACTAAGCTCCATGGAGTCTAGTTTAAATATGCCAAAGAACAAATCAGAAGTCACGTATACAAAAAATGCAATATTATGTGGGTGGCATTTTTGTGTCACTTTGTACTTAAACCAATGACGAGCAATCAGAAAGACTGGAGCGATTCAACCAGCCCATGAGGTTAATGTATTATATATTTAAAGCAATCATGATGAATGAACTAGATGCACCACAACACTTCCCCTTATAAAAAATTCAACCTTGAAAGTCCGAATTTAAACCGTTTCCATCAATCATTGAATACTGATTGTTTCAACTACTAAGATCAAAGGAAAAACCATTGTACAGTGATAAGCAATCATTGTGCAACCATTGCGTTCAACCAAACAAAGTCAACTCTTTTTCAATGACTGCGCAACCATTTCTATACAATCATTGTAATCTGCAACCATTGTAAACTGCAACCATTTCACATTGAAATGTAAATGGTTGCAATACATTTTGTTCAATGATTACATAGTTCAAGCCCTGCAACCATCCTGAATTGGTATCGTTCCAAAAAAGTAATCATTTTACTTGAATTAAAATTATCTTTAAGTAAGGATTTGAATCTACCTCTATTCAACAACAGTATATTAGGATATTTTTTCTGCAAGCATACATGCATGTTTATTATAGTAAATTACTAAATTCATGTTCATATGTTTCTTTCTCCAGTACGGATTTAGGAATGCGATACCAGACTAGTTTTCCACTCAATGGCATATGATAATTTATGTTCTCTGTCATTTACATTATTTACACAATTAAAAGTACCATATCTAGTGTTTATTTCCCGTTATCTGATATTGCCAAAATAATGTATTTTTAATGTTAATTATGAAAAGAATTGAGCAAAATTCCAATTTGGTTAAGAAATTGACCAAGGAAAATCTTAAGATTTCCTTTAAACTTAACAAAATCACAAGATGAGGCACCATTGTTTTTGTTCATGATTAGACTGATATACATGTATGATCAAAAGAAGCAGGGTATGATGTACAAAATAATACAAACATGTAATCACAAGTTGATTGCTTTATTTAGTGAAAATGTTTTTATAGTAATAATGCATTCAGGCACCAAAGACTTAATTTTCACAGTTTCAATTGAAAACATCTGAATTAATAATTTCAGTAAAATTTTGTCAAGGAAGATGGATTATTGCCATACCCATGATATACAAATAGATTGGTTTGGGAACATATTGATATCGGAGGGTTTAGCTCAGGACCCCCGAAAAAGTTTATATACAATGAACAAGCCAGTAGTCAGCCCCCCCCCTCCCAGCAAAATGGGTCTTCAAATGTATCCATGTGTAGTTAACACCAAATATCAAGAGTATGACTGACTAAAATTTAAAAATACAAACAAGAGGACTATTTTGATATTGATATTGATATTCACAACAGATTTAATTACCATGTTCTTTCTTGGCAAATATTTTTTATAACAATGCTCAACACAACAATACCTACTACATATTGATATTCTCATGGGTTTAAGAAAATCAAAATGCTTGAACAGCCAATTAAAACGGTTGAACAGCTAATTAAAACGGTTGAACAGCTAATTAAAACGGTTGAACGGCTAATTAAAATGCTTGACCAGAAAAAGGGTTCATAGTCCTAGTTTCTGTTATATCTATTTTCATCTTGTGTTATACTATATATTTATTTTAATTATCTATTTCATGCAGAGGGGGGGGGGAGTTAAAATTTAAAAAGTGTTTTCAGATTTTTGAGGGTTTATTTCTTTATTCAATTACTTCAATAAGTGCTGAGAAATCTCAAATAGCAAGTATATGAAACTGCAAATAATATTTTCAGAATTTTTTATTTCAAAGTCCATGGTTTTTCTTTATTCACTAGGGAAAAGCATTTGTACTGAAAAGTGTTTTCAGTTTAAATGATATGTGTTGATGGGTAAAAAATAAAAACCAAAAACAGGGCTTATTTTTCAAAACTCTAAACTTGGAAAAATCTGGAGGAAAATATGGGAGATTTTCTTTGGCAAATTATTTATCAAGTTCTGTATATGGAATAATCTAAATTACATAGGATGCTTCCTTTATAGCAGACTCTAATCAAACTGATATAATAAGGTTTGTTTTGCCTTGCCGAATTATTTTTGTTTTGTTTATGGATTAATGGATTAATAAAGTTTCTTTAGACACATCCTTCAAAGCAGACTCTAATCAAACTAGATAGACTGAGTCTAACTGTAATCAGAGTTTTTTAAGTTATGCTTATCTACTTAATTATTTAAAACACATCCTGTAATGTCTGATTGCATTTTCTCTATCAAATCAAAAATATCAAATCAAAACAGATTATTTTCCCATTGAAGGATTTCTTTCTTCCAGACACATCTTCCTTCCTTTATAATTGCGATGATTGCAAGGTGAAGTGTAAAATCCAAGACTTGACCCAATCAAAAATTTTTTCAAATGATTTTGCAATAACTTAAAAAGTAGTGAAGTGATTTTGTAAAAATGATAGTCATGACAGGGAGGGGGATTTGCTATGCCTAAGCATTGCTGTTATCTAGATAATATACATGTGAGTTAGACAATCACCATCCTTCAAAGTTAGATGAAAATTGGTTCAATATATTTTCATTCACAAGACAAGTTTACTTAACTATTTCAATACTTTAAATATCTTTTTGATCAAACCATTTTAATTCTGACATGTACAGTATGCATGAAATACACACATTTGAAATATATTTTTTAAAGAGCAAGATAATTATTTTATGTTGTATTGAGATAAAATTGCCATAGTTTTAAAGGGTTGCATTCGATTGAAACGGTTGCAAGAAATGCAACCAAAATTGTCAAGCGTTTACAATGGTTACATATGATTGAAACATTTCAATGAGTTTACAACCAAAATTGTAATGGTTGCATCGTAACGGTTGGCATGGTTGCATAAATGATCGGATCAATGATTGTACAATGATTGTGCAACGGTTTAAATTCGGACTTTCAATGATCAACTATGTCCATCATGAAAATTGCATGGTCAGACCTGTGTATGAAGCCTAACATATGAGCAAATAGAATCTAGACAGAAAGTTTGGCTTCACAAAGGCTATGTTAATATTTGTAGCACTCTCTCAGGTCTTCAAACAACTTGAATAAGCCATCTATATAAGATCAAAATCAAATTCAAGTTAAATCAACATATCTTTGGCTATTTCTTACCATAAAACTACAAATTTTCTATTGGGCTTCACCATTGAAATGCTAATCTTAAGGTCGGCCTCGGAAGCCTGAACAGTATCTGCAAAATCAAAATGATCTCTGCAGCATTGAAACAACTACAATATAGGTGATGCCTCCCCTTATATTGAAGTTAGCATGTCATCATATGATTATCAGAGATATTGATTAGTCATTAAAAGTATGATTCGCACAGTGTTGAGAAAACCTCGGGAGATAATTAATTCTTACCCCTTGAATTTGTTAGTGGGTTTGAATTGTGACAGCCACCTGCCAGTAGAGATGGAACTGCTAATTGAAAGATTGCCTAACCTATTCAAAGACTAGTAAAGAACTGAACTCAGCAGTCAGGCTATTAAAATATGTTTATGATTGTTTATGTTCATTTCCTTTTTTAGATACACACAAATAAACATTGCATGAGTGGGTGACACTTTAAAAAGTGTTTATTCCCAACAAAAAGTTTACAATAAGGTTGTGTGTTGTCATACCTGTTAAAGTGCAGTAGGGGACTTGTCTTTGTATTCAACTAGATACGAATGTTCATTTTGGCTTGTCACATCTACCATTTTTCTTCAAACTTACTCCATACAAAGCAAAACAAGAAGGCCATCTGTTGGTGTATTGCATTATTCTATAGACTTTCTCGTTTTAGCGGTGTTAGGGTCCCCACCTGTGAGATCACACGAATTTTCATAGCTTCCAACTATAAAAACTGCTGCGTTTAATGCCAAAATATTTTGATGCAGTGATGGATGGTTGAAATAGGTTACCATTCGGAAAGTATGGGCGAAAAATAAGGAGGGAACTAGAAAATTTGCGAGATCTCACAGCTGGGGACCCAAATGCAGCTAAAACGAGGAACTCTGTATGATAAAGCAATGCACGGACAGAAAGGCGTTTTCATTTTGCTTTGTATGGAACAAATTTGAAGAAAAAAACAGTGCAGTGTAAGACTCACAATTCTTGATTTTCAAACAAGTGGTATACTTAAAATTCAACTGTAACAGTTTTGTGGGACGTATTGGTTTTGATACGTCCCAAGTAGTTGGATCCCTGTGATCGTAGAGGATAGCATATGTACATGTATGTTAATCACTATATATGAGACAATAGGATTAATTCTTTGAAGCCCTAGAGTGTTTGAAATTTGAAA